AGCGTAGTGAGGGGAGACCAAAGCGGAAATGGCCCCTGTTGCGAAGGCTTTAAGAGGCCCAAAAAATTGAGGAGCAAAAAAAAAATGAAACCAATTTTAACATAAAAAGTAATAATTTATTAATTTTATTGTAAAAAAGCGCATTTATTTCATTTTTGCCCCGGTCGCAAAAATATTAGCTACGCTATCTTAAGCGTCATATAATTTATAAAATAAAGCAATTTTTATAATTGAATGTTTTATACCTTATAACAAAACTCCATATACAACTGATTAAACTTTAACATAGAAATGAACTAAACTGTAGAATCAAATAGACAATTTTCTAGCATTCTTTGTCTTTTATTTTAAAATACCGCAAATGATTTAATGTTCTGCAAATGATCTAAAGTACTCGAATTATAAAAACTATAAATGCTTCCAAATAATGTGTTCAAAGTATATTACTTAATTTTTTTCAAAGTATAACTACATAATTTTTTTCTTGAGATATTTTCCTTTTATTTATTTCCGAATAACTTAGCTTATAAAATTTATAAAATATTTATGTTTTGCATTTAAATTTAACGTTTACGGTGATACTAATGTTAAAAACTGTAATTAGAACAACCAATCCAAATGCAGTATATTTAAAAAAGCAAATTTAATACTTTATAATTCACAAGTCCGGGCCCTTGAACAGAGCCGGGCCCCAAGACAATATACCCCTGACCCCCCCCCTCTCTACGGCCATGTATATATATATATATACATATATATATATATATATATATATATATATATATATATATATATATATATATATATATATATATATATATATATATATATATATATATATATATATATATATATATATATATATATATATATATATATATATATATATATATATATATATATATATATATATATATATATATATATATATATACAGGCTTGGACGGGAATGGCGTGCGATCGGACGCTGTGTTTGACCACGCACATATTAACAATGTTTTGAAAATAAAACCACGGTTGCTTTGATGTTTTGACTAATAAATACGTTTTTTCGGCCTATGGGAAATGCGTTAAAATAACCAAACTAAATTAAATTATAGAGAACAATTTAAAAAATATGTATTTTTTTTTTTTACACATTTCCAACGAAAGAAGAGAAAAGAAAACTAAAACTGTAAAAGTACTAACTCAAAGCGACAATTATTTTAAGTTACGTTAGTTAACGTTAGAAATAAATGACTTTTATCTTTTGTTACTTTATTTTTTGCAAACAAGTTAAACTATTGAATCGCTTTATTGCTACAACGTTTAGGTCTTTTGTTGTTGTCAGGCTGAGCGTTAATACATTTTTCCAGCAAGAGTTCAGTCGTAGCTAGACCGCTGAATAAACGGTCAGAATAGGGCTGTTATACCTTGATATATATTTTTTTAATCAAATCCGTTGGATTATTGATCAATAAGCTTTATTTTATAAATTTATATTTCTTCTTAGTTGCATTTTTTGAATCCGATAAATTTTGTTATGCATCGGAATAATAATTATTTAATAAGATTTTTCTTAATTTAAATTTTGTTTAACAATTAATTCGTCACTTTATTTATAAGTGCTTCACACTATAATTTTTAAGTTTTTTAATAAAGTTTCAAAATTTTTGATGTCGTAATTTAAAGTAATAAATAAAATATTCGTTTAAAAGATTCATAAACATTGCATGACAAAAAAAAATACTTTTTAACTTTTACATTTATCATACACTTTTATCGTAAGCACTTATCATGCAAATCGTTAGTTCTCTCTCGCGGAAATTCTCATTAAACATAACGGCGTAAACATTAGACGTTACTCTTTAAAATCTTTGCGCAAGAGAGCAAATGCTTTTTAAAAGCATTGGTTCTCATGCGCAAAGACTTTAAAGAGTAACGTCTATTGTTTACCTGCTTATGTTTAATGAATATCTCCGCGAAGGAGAACTAATTATTTGACAAGGAATTAGTTCAACTTAGCGTGACGGTAGACTTTGTGGATGGAAAAAAAATGTTACAAATAACATTTTTAAATATTTTTAATAAAGCGTCTAATTAAAATAATCGTTACAAACACTTAGTAGATTTATTTTAAAGTTTCGCATGTAAAGTTTTAAAAAAAAATTATTAATTCCTACCGTTTATCAGAAACAAAATATTCGTTTAAAAGATTTAAAATAAAAACATGGAAAGGTATATTCTAACGTTTACATTAAAAAAAAAAAAAACATGCTTATAAATATAATAATGCAAAAAAACTTAGATATTCTTTGGTGATATAAACGAAATGAAAGTAATCCCTAGAAGTAATTTTCACTTTGTTTAAATGCCTTCACATAATATACAAACTTAAGCAAAGATGATTTTTGTGAACGAATAATCTCAAAACGTTTTGAAAGAAGATCTTAAAGATCGTCGTTCGTAAAGTTTCGAGCTTATTCATTACTTTCGTTATAAAAATTCGCTCAAAAAATAATCTTTGAAAAACAAAATATTCGTTTGAAAGATTTAAAATAAAAACATAAAAAAATACTTTTAAGCGTTAGAAAACAAACTTAAATAAAAGTTTCGTATACGTTTTCGTAATAATAATTTGTTTATTTTAAGCAATCTTTTAAAGTAATTTGTTATTTTGTTTAAAGGTGTTCACATAATATAAAAACTTTGAAAAAGGTAAACGATTAAAAGTTATTTCGTAAATTTTACTAGTTTCTTTCGACGCATTTCTGAAGCGTTTTATTTGTCAAAGCAACCGTGGTTAAATTGTCAAAAAAAATTATTGTTCCCGTGGTCAAACAAAGCGCGTGATCGCACGCCATTCCCGTCCAAGCCATAATATATATATATATATATATATATATATATATATATATATATATATATATATATATATATATATATATATATATATATATTTAAGTTTACATTTGTTGTCGTAGTAAATAAATTACTTTCACAAACGCAAACAAGATTTCTGAAAGAAGATCGTATTGATATTATCGTCGGAACTTTTTGCAAGCGTGTGTATATAAACTACATCAAAACATAATTAACAAAATAAAACGTAATAAACAATAAAAGTTCAAAAAATATATATATATAAAATTACGATTACTCTTTTTAATTTCTACAACCTTGTCCATTAGGGTTGTTTCTTGGACACTTTTTAATTTCTACAACCTTATCCACTAGGTTTTTTTCTTGGAAATTTAGAGTTGTTTTAAGATCACGTATATCTTTTTGAATACATTAGATTTGTTATTGTTTACATAAACTTCTAGTTTTTCAATACTGTCCGTTAATATTTTTAAGTTTGCACTCATAATCGATGCAAAACCTTTTTCCTGTTCCTTTAACAACTTCTCTGTTTCTTTTAGAATAAATTTTTTTTTTGTTTTTCTATTGTTGGTAATTAATTTTTCTATGTTTTTAATTGAAATTTCCATATTGAATAATGATTTAAACACGCTGTAGAGAAAAACACGTCTGTTCGCTTCGATTACTATGTGCAACTTGTATATATATATATATATATATATATATATATATATATATATATATATATATATATATATATATATATATATATATATATATATATATATATATATATATATATATATATATATATATATATATATATATATATATATATATATATATATATATATATATATATATATATTAAGAAAAGGTTCAAAAATCGGCGAATCCTTGAAGTTTAACCAAAAAACATTTAATTATTGTATTAGTTACATTATTGCCGCGTTAATTTTACAATGCAAGAAGCGTTGTTGTAGAGGAATTAAACATTTTTGCACCCCGGGTTTTTTTTTAAGAGTTCTACCTGAAGCTTTTCAAGTTGAGCACAATGAGTTGTTACAGTAATTATGTTATTCTACGGTTCCTAGTGCACAATACCCACCTAACCATATGCATCACTATTTTGTGGTGTTTCTCACAATTGCGGCAGCAAACTACTGTGCTTAAGTCAACTTTTAGAGTTGGTTTTGGCGGTTGTTCAGACCTAGTTACTGGTGCTATCTCTGTGGTTTACGTAATATACTCAATTCTTGTTTTTTGTGATGACACAATCAACATAATTAAATTAGTTTAATGTGCGGTACTAAGACAAAAGATTCATGCAGGTGTCCACTGGCTGACCTAGTTAACGAACTCTAGTTACCTAGTTTGTTTGAATTTTAAACGCCAAATTTGGAGGTCTTTCCTATTTTGTGGTACCCATGGTATTATAAAACACCATTAGTCGTTCTTTATAGTACCATGCTTGTTAAACAGGTTGCTTAGACGCATGATATTACAAAAGATTTTAATTAGCTGAAAACTAGTTAAAATTTTATTTGGGCTGATTGATTTTGTTGGGTCTATATATATACTTAGATCATGAAAAATTCTTAAATTTCAAGAACTCTTTAGGAAATTTTAGAAAAACTGCTAATTGCTTTTTTGTCAACTCAATAATATTTTGTTGATGTTAGTGCGTTAAAATTCTACTCAGCGCTTCTGTGTCTTTTCTTTGTGTATTTATATTTTTAATTGACCGAAGTGATACTGTTATTTTGTGATTGGTTTAGTAAGAAAAAAATTACACATTATATTGTAAAATAATGTTTTTTAAATCACTTAATAGGTTATATGGAACCCAGCTTTATCTGCGACCCAAATCCTAATGCTACCCTCAGAGGCGATTCTACGAATAAAATGAGAGGGGGGGTGAATCCTCAAAAATTACCGACTAGCTTCTTAAAAAAAAAAAGGTCTCAAAACAAAAATTTAACCGACTTAATTGTGTCACATAGCCGACTGCCGACTAAATTCGTAAAAAAACCGACTTTAACTTGAAAATCACCTTCTTTGGGGGAGAGGGTGTAACCCCCACACACCCCCGTAAAATTGCCACTGGCTATCCTTAATCCAATAGATTTTATTATTTAAAATTAATTATAATAACGTAGGCTACTTACTTCTGATATTGACACCACTATTAAAGACAGTCTGGGATTCAGCGCTATCGATTTAGCAATCATATTGGAGAAGACTGAACTTTTACCATTATTGACTGCAAATCAATCAAAGGTAAGGTGTAAAATAATTTATTACGTTAAAATAAATACTTTTACAATGTATTGTGAAAGCACTTTTATGAAAAATTAAAAGTATACGATAATGCATTCTAGGGTCATTTTTATACAATTAAAAAAAAAAATGGAATTTGGAATTTAATATTTAGGGTAGATTAGAGTAATATGAGCATGTTTTTAAAAATGGATCCGAACTTTTGCAAATAAGCAATTTTTAGGGATCCCTACTCATGACCCACTAAGATATCTGGGCACCCTAAACTTTTTTCACCTAACTTTTTTCTTAAAAACACAAAGGTTTTAAAAAAGAAGCACAAGTGCTCATATTACCCAGACCACTTGGTAATATGAGTACTTTAAATATGCTTAAAAAAAAAACATTAATTGAGTAAAAAAAATACCAACCTGATTATAAGAACTAATTTTTGGAAAAACTTATCATCAAAAGATCAAATTTTAAGCCACTTTTTGTTGAAAAAATACTAGTATGTTTTCCGCAACAACAACAAAAAAAATTAATTTGTTATTTTTTCAATTTTATTAACTTGAACCTTTGAACGATAAAAATAAAATTTGATTTTAAATTACAAAAAAATATTTAATATTGTTAAATAACTTAAATTTTTCACTATGTTTTGTTTTTATTAAAAAAAGCAATTAAACCCACTGCTATTTTAGGACTAAAGTCCTAAACAAGATAATTTCAATGAAAAACACAGGGTATTTTGAGCATGCTCATATTACACAAAAATTGCGTCTTTAAATCAAGTCAAAACTAAATGTTTATATGCATTGTTTTTCAAACAAAAATAGATTAGATTTTTAGCAAACATATTTTTCTTTAAAAAAATAATTTTCATTCTTTTAGCGCCAAAATTTCGCGCCACAGGTTTATTCATGCGTGCTGATATAATTTTAACAACGCAAAAAATTTAACAGCGTTTTATTTAGATGATAGCCGCAAATTACTACATATAAATTTGCACTAATTGTACTGATTCCTGTTAACAGCACATAAAGTGGATTCAAAAAAAAAAAGCAACGTTAACTTCACAGCTTACATCTAAGAAATCTTTAAGTACACTCATGTTACCAAGGTCATATTACCCTAATCTACCCTACGTAAAACACGAAAACTTGCTTTTGCGTTGATTCTCATATTCTTCAAAATTTTGCTTTTTTAAAATTTACTTTTTCTTAAAACTTGAGAAGCATACAAAAATTAGAAATTTTATAAATGATATTTATTACATTATATATATATATATATATATATATATATATATATATATATATATATATATATATATATATATATATATATATATATATATATATATATATATATATATATGATATCTATTACATTTACAACTTTTTAAAAACAAAAACCACTCTTATTGAAATTTAGGGGCTTTTCGATTATTTTTCATTTTCTTAATTTTTTTTTTAAGACTTGAAGTAGTTATAATCTTTTACAGGAACTCAGTCCAAAAGAAAGATTAAATTTCTTAAAAGATGAAGTCGAGGCTGAATCAAACAGAAATGACTTTGATCCTTTAAAATGTAATAATAACGTTGCAGATATAAGTTTATCAAAACATGGCGGAAAGATGTCAAGTGCTAATGCAAATAAACGTGAGTTTTTAGTATTTTTGTAGTGAAACATTGAAACTATAGGCCCGGTGAATAAAACAGAGCAATCGCTTTCACTCAGCGTTTTTAAAGTTATTGCTCAACTTTACTTGAATGAAAATGTTAAGCAAGTGCTTTTTTTTTTTGCGCGATTTTACTCGTGAGTAGTTGCTCAAAGCGCAGAACGATTACTCGCATATAAGAAAAGTGCACGAAAAAGCTTTAATTAAAAAAACAACAAACAATTGCCTCTAATTTTACAAGCACCTACAAAAGTTGCTTTTTGTTTTATTTTTTTAATAAATGGGCACTTATTTTTTGACTATATATATGAGGAATCCATTTGTAAAACTAAATCCGAGAATATTGATTTTGAGAAAACGACGAAAAACTGAATTACTCATAGCTGCCCATCAACAGAAAATGATATTTTCTTTGTCAATTTTTAGGACAAAAAAAACTTTTAATTGTTTTATATATGTTTATATATATGATAGACGCCTTCTTCCTTGCCGATATTATTAAACTTGTCCAGAGGTGGCGTTGAACCACTCTTTAGTTTTTGATGCAAGCGCGCTAATAACTGCGCTATGGCTGCTCTGATTCAATATATAGAATCTGAAAATGGAATTAAATTGAAATTTTTTTTTTGTGATTCAGCGCGTTTTAAAGATGGACTTTTCATATAATATATGAGGAGCCCATCGCAAAACGCTCTAAGTCGGGAAAATAAAAGTTTTGAGTTAATTCCATTACCACATTTTATATACTAAAATGTTTCAACAATTTAAATATTAGACCCGTAGAAAGTGCTTTTGTCTTTAAAATAGACAAAGAAAATAATAATTTCTTTTGTGGCTCAACTAGAGTAGTTCATTTTTTATTCCGTTTTTTCAAAATCAATTTACCCGGGTATAGCTTTATAGATTTTAGTAAATAAATGTGGTTTTCTGGAGCAATTAAATAATGAAGTTAGATAAAGATTTCAAACGTGAAAACAATTTTCTAGAGCGAACTATTTTTTTAAAATATCTGAAGAGAATCTTAATACATCGTAATTTATGTGACCAACACTTTGAAATCAAATCAAATCTTCCCTCTCTCGTTTTTAGTGTAATTGTTGATTGATACATAAATTTATTACTTTTAGTTAATAAAAATTAAAAATTAATTTAAAAATGAAGAGTCATAACGTCTGGTGACGTAAAATGCATTTCATACTTTAAAATATTGCACCGAGTTGTTCTTTATTTAATCCCTTAAAAAGGAAGTTCTTTGTTTAAATCAATGTCGTCACTGTGTCCATGCCCCAACATTTCGGTGTGTGGAATCAAATTATTGAAAAAAGAAAAAATATACCGTAATAATTGCATCTGAAATTAGAAGTAAAACTAATTTCATTTCTAAATGGCAGAGATTTTTATTTAATTTCATATGGTTCGTTTTTTTATAATTTTCTTTTCAAGGTAAAATATGGTAAAAAAGGCACTTACCTTTTTTTGCTGCTGTTTTTTTTTAAGGGTTAATATTATTTTAATATAAAAACTTGTTAATTATTTAAAGTTAAAAAAAAATTAATTTCTCTTTACAATTTATTTATAATAATAAATAAAACCTTTTTTTTTTTAGCTATTGTTTATTTTTACTTATTTATAAATTCTATTTATTATATTATATAAAAAAAGTTTATTCATTTTTATTGATGTAACGTATGAAGAATTATCATTTTATTGATCTGAGATGTCGTTATGATGTCATACGAGATGTCATGCCTTTCGATACTGAATTATACCGAAAACTCACGAAAGAATTTATTGCAAGCACATTATTCTAACCTTCATGTTTTTCCAAAACGTTTAAAATTAAAGAAAATGAAAAAAAGAAAAATCAAAGTGGTTCAATTTCAACTGCAGTGCTTGTGTGGTAAAAAATATTTTTTTATTAAAAAAATGAGTACTATGGTTATAAATATTTAAATTACCACATAGTAAATATTTAAATTACCAGAATGTAGGTAGTCATTAAAATGAAATAGTTGAAAATAAAATATTTATCCTTTAAAACTTTTAGCAAGTGCAACAATGTATGATTAAATTATTGCATTTGCCACAACTAAAGATTTGACATGAGTAATTTTCTAAAATTCTTTATTTAGCATTAAACCTAAAAAATTCATAGATGGAATTTATATGTAACTGCTAAGAAAAAGGAACTTGTAAAAAAAGTTTATGAATTAGATCATTTTTAACTTTGGTGCGTAAAACCACGTTTTAACTTTAGTGATAACTTAAAACATTTCTATCTCAAGGTCAACATAGAGAAAATTGTTTTTTCAGCAGAAACTCAGCCAGTTGGTTATTAACATAAAAACGTTAACCTGGTAGATTTTATCTGGCTTTTTAAAATTTTGCCAAAGTATAACTGTACATTTTTTCTGATGTTCTCATTATGAAAAAGTATTTTGAGATAAAAGTACAATGTTGTCTCTAATAATGTAAAAATTTAAAACCAAATTTGTCGGGAGTAAAAAATAGGATGTCGAAAACCATGGAAACATGAAACCCAGCTTTTTTTTTTTTTTTTTTTTTTTTTTGCCAGGTTTGCTGTGTGCGTGTGTCTTTTTTCACTGCTCTAAAAGCGAGTTTCCGCTCATCCGTTTTTTCATGGGAACGTGAAAGGGACGGGAAAAATAATCACGTGGGCATGCGTAGTATAAGTTTTAATATGTCAGAAGAAAAACTACGCATGCTCACGTGATTATTTTTCCCTTTTCTATCACGTTCCCATGAAAAAACGGACGAGTGGAAACTCACCTTTATTCTTTCGGTATGACGGTTGTAAAACGTCATAATAAATCATTAAGTATTACGTTATCACTAGTACCCGACGGGCATTCGTTTTTAAAAGTTACGATCTAAATGTATTTTAAATGTCTTTTAAACGTCTCTTAAACATTAATGTTTAAAAGACGTTTAAAAGACGTTTAAAACACATTTAGAACGTAACTTTTAAAAACAAATGCCCGTCGGGTATAGTTTCAAATGCTGTTGTTACTTTGGAAACTATAGCAACTGACAAAAAATAAGGTCTTTATATTTCTACAAAAAAGAATCTTCTCATATATGAAGGGTGGGGATTAACGTTACAATATATATATTTTCAATATGGTATTTGAAAGTAAGTAAATATTTAGGTGAAATTTTAAAACTTTCGAACATAGCGCGGCCGTGGCGCAGTAGTTAGAGCGCCTACTTTATAAGCAGGAGATCCAGATTCGAAACGAACTCTGGACATTTTTTCGCGTCACGGTAAGGAAGGAGGCGTAAACTTCCTGGTTAAATGTACTTCCGAGGTGCTCTGTGACAAGACCGTTCGGTCTTCTTGGGGCACCTAAAAATAATAACAAAAAAGTAAGGAACTAACTTTTTCTCATCAAAATTTTTGTGACGTTCAAATGCAATGATCATGTAAATGTTAATAAACCACCTCCCACTATAAGAATTTTAGTGGGAGGTGGATCCCTGCCTCCCTCTTAAAAAAACTGTTTGATTTTAATTTGAGTATGGAAAAAGTGTACTTTCAAAAAACTTTTGAAGTTTATATTATTGCTTCAGGCATAGACACGTTTACACGCTTCACGTTTTCACGCTTGCTTTAAATTTCTTGACAGAGAAAAAGTTTTTGTAAAACTATGGATGTCGGTAAATGAGAGCCTTGGGTAAAATATGGACATTTGGAGTATGGAGTAACAATTTTTCATATTATTTTAAAGATTTCCATAAATTTTTTTAACTTTAAAACTATAACTATATATGAAGCAACATGGCTTTTGACAGAAAGACATTTAATCATTTATTTTATATTTTTATATTCAATTAGAAAAACTTTAACATTAAACAATTAAATTAAAATATTGCGTTTAAAAACCACTGCATGATGGTTAATCTAATAATCTAGATTACTAATTATCAACTATTGTGTTTTGTGATCTTTTAGGAGCTGATAATAAAGTTTCATACTAAATATAACTTAAACATTCACACAAACTTTTTTAACTGTTTAAGAGGTGAAGTAATTGTAAATTCATAGTTTATTACGGTGTATAGTATGGAACGTAATTTTGCAAACGTTTTGCAAGTTATATAACTTGGAAGTACTTTTGAAGCTATTCCTGTTAAGCTTAAAACTATTATTTTAAAAGCAATTTAATACAGGTTTACCCGTCGTGTCAGAATTTTTGACTGGGGTAGACAACTGTAATTAGACTGAAAATAATCTAATTTTTAGGCCTCTGCTAATCAGGAAAATAAAAACTTAAAATTCGCAAACAAGATCCGAAGAACATCAATATTTTAAAATATTAATAGATCATCAAACATTTTTTTTGCAAATGGCTTTCTTTCTGAGAATCTGATCAATAATACCTTATATAGTTCTTAATTTCAAAAAATGAAGACAACTTGAAGATTTTTGAAAGAACTTCTAACTTAAATTTCAATAGAAGAAAGTTCAACCATTGCTGCAAAATGAACATTTAATGACATACACGGGCGGATCCAGGATTTTTTAGTTTTTGAGTTAAATAACTTTTAGGTAAGTTCTAAACTCCAAATTTTTTATGCTCATACTTATGTTATTTAAGAATGCTTTGCCAAAAATTGCGTTGATTAGAGCCTGGGAACAAAAATACCCTAAATAATAGATATCACCCGCCCAAATAAGAGGAGAAATGATTTTTCGGAAAAAAAAAGTTACTTCTTTTAATAAAATTCAAATGTGTATCTATATTTAAAGTTTGATCAAAAAATCATCTTGCGTTAAAAGTTATAGCCATTTAAAGTTTACAGCCCCTCAAAACGAGGGGGTTGTAAATTTAAACTGGGTATAATTTCTAAAATACATTATATTTAAAAAAAAAATTTAGAACCTTAACGATATTACCACCTTATTTAGGATATTAGAATTTAAATTTAGAAAAACTGATTCCCCACAATTGGGGGAGTGATGCCTACTTTTTATGTTTTTTTTGTTCCCAGGTTTTAATCAGCGTAATTTTTGGCAAATCATCCTTAATGACTAAAGTATAAAAATACAAAAATTTGGAGTTTAGAACTTACCTGAAAGTTATATAACTCAAATACCAAAAAATCCTGGATCCGCCCCTGGCATATAAGGTCTTAAAGAACAAATTGAGTTTCATTATCGCACAATATTGTACTGGTATACTTTGAGGTTTTAGATTTATTTATTACAGTAAACAAGATTTTCTGTAATAAATGAATAGAAAGTAGATTATACCAATCTAGTTTTAAAACTTACCTAATAATTGATCAATTTTACTAAAATTATTTTTGGAAAGAAAAACAATTTTTAAAGGAAACTGTGCAAAAAAACTAATAAAATATTTTTTTATGGTCATTAAAGGGATCCCAAACCTCCGAAAAATGTTGTGTTCATTTCATCGTATTTGATTTTTTGAACATAAACACCCAACGGCTGAGAATGCTCATCGGGGTTACACACTTGTATGCCGTATAGATAGTATATAAACATATTTTTTAAAGGTGATCACATATGGACTTACTTTTTTCTACTACTTTTAAATAACTGCATTTCTTTTATATCTGCCATGTTTAAACACTCTATCAGGTTTATTATTAATTTTTTTATTTTCGTTATTTGGATTTGGTTTAAACATTTCTGGGATTTTTTATGAAGTAACTTAGTTATGAAGTAACTTAGTTACTAAGCTCCTTAACTCTCCTCTTTTTAATTCGGTGACTCAAAGCATCGTGCAATTGTTTTCTTATTTTAGATTGTTGTTTTTTTATCTTTGTCAACGTAAACTCTAATGCAATGTCAGACTAAATTAAAGTTGCGTTTCGTTTACAAAGTACTACCACAGTTGCTTTAACGGGATTCAAAAGTAAATCAGATAATATTCTACATTCCTTTTTATTCATCTAAATTAAATCATCGATGTTGGAAACCAACTCTAAATCAAGAAGTACCTTTTTAACACAATAACTTTTTAGTTTTAACTTTGCAAAGGCAACAAGCTGCTTGACTGGGTTTTGCAATCCATGATTAAATTGATGACATTTTCAAATTCAATTTTTACGTACTTTTGTAAATAATTCTTATTTTTGTTTGGGTGCCTTTTAAACATTTTTACAATTTTCCTAACTTCTGTTACAACGAGTTTATGACTTCAAATATTTCATTAATAAACAACAAATCATTTGAATTTCGAATATAATCTTCTTAATCAAAAAAACATTTTCTACTTTGAATTATAATAACTAAGTTTATTTAATAAACCTTATGTATTTTGATAACTTCATTAATTAAACGGACGTTAAGTAATTTTTATATTTTATATTTATTTACTAGTTCCTAAATGAAAAAATTAAAATAATAATAAAAAAAGGTCCCTAAAACTAAAATTCATCCGACAGATTTTTGCCAAACACCCGACTATATTCGTCAAAAAACCAAATACAACTTGAAAATCGCCTTCTTTGGGGGAAAGGGAGAGCACACTCCCAAAGAAGGTGAACTCCCCACAAACCTCACCTCATTAAAATAGTCTCTGATTAAATCATCATGTTATAAAAATTGGAAAAGCCAATTTATGCAAAATAAACTAAAACTTTTTTTTTAAGAAAACAGCTAAATTTTTATCTTATAATGTATGTTGCATAGGCCCTAAAAATCACACTATAGACAATCAAGAAAACAAAAATATATATATATATATATATATAATTGAAAATTTTGTTGTCTATAGTTTTTATTTTGGCGCGGCTATACACACACACACACACACACACACGCACACACACACACACACAACCACACACACACACACATTTCGCAGGTCATGCTTGACAGGCAAGACCCTTAGACACGCCTATGATAAATGGCGGGTTTTAGGGGGGGGGGGCATGAGGGTAGTAGCCATTGCTTTGGGACTTTTTTTCAAAAATATTATTTTGTAAATTACTATTACGCAGAATTGGACTATTATACTGACGAATTAAATTGACTATTATACGTAATTGTAGGTACATGAACTTGCTTATTACACTTACAAAAAATTATGAACCTAATTATTACAAGTACAAAAAATTAAAAAATTACTTAGAAATGAAAATATGTGGATCTTTTTTTTTCTTTTTTAAGACCTTTTTAGCCCCCTCCTTGGCGAGTGACAAAACCCGCCCCTGCCTATGATATATATATATATATATATATATATATATATATATATATATATATATATATATATATATATATATATATATATATATATATATATATATATTTACAGTATGTAAACAATATTTTCTATATAGTTTACATACTGTAAACAATATTGGGCCAATATTGTTTGCCAATCGGATATATATATATATATATATATATATATATATATATATATATATATATATATATATATATATATATATATATATATACATATATATATATATATATATATATATATATGTATATATATATGTATATATATATATATATATATATATATATATATATATATATATATATATATATATATATATATATATATATATATATATATATATATATATATGTATATATATATATATCTTTTTCTAAAGACATACATAAATCACTATAATGACGTTTAACTTTTTTTTTTTTTGATATGTTACATCTAGTTCCGGCACTTTGAAAGTTATTTACTTTAGAATACTCTACTTTAAAGTCCATACAAAAAATATTTTAACATTTATACAATAAATACTTATACATAAAATATTAATGAAAATTATTTAGACCTCTATTTTTTTTTTTAACTAAACTAATTCGTGAACTCATGTTTACTGCGCGGTATTTGTGTTCAACGCGGAAAGTGCTGCGAGGTTGCTACTTAGATCATTGTATGTAAACATTCCAAATCACAAAACTAACACTGCTGGCTATTTGAAAGAACATGTACTGAAAAGATAGAATTAAATTTTTACTCGAAATTCTAAAGTTTAAGTTTTTAAATTTAAAACTTTTTTGAAAAAAAAAATTTAATGAAAGTATTTGCTTATGACACGCATACCAATTAGTAAAAAATGTAAAAATATATAAACAATATCCTTGATAATAACATTTGAATAACAACTTTTTTATTGCATAGATGACGGTGTCAGAAAAAATTGTAATACCGTAAAAGAAGCTCTAGTGCGTTTAATCTCATTCAAAATTATTTTATTTTTGAAATTTTAAGCTTTTTAATCTTCTACAATCCAACACTACGGCATATTTCTTTTGTTTTGTTTTTAAATACAAGAAATTTATTTTTTATGATTTTGAATTAATTGTAAAGTGTTTTTATCATAATATTTCTGTAGGCATTTTTTTTTTATAACGGTACAAATATTATATAGAATTACTGGATGAAAGTAAAGAATTTGTCGAAATTACAAAAGAAACAAAAAAAAGTGATTTGAATTTAATAAGTCAAAAAGTAAATATCTGTAACGAAATTATTCTTGATAGTTCAACAAATTTTATTGATCAAAAAGTAAATATTGACATGAATAAAGACGAAGAGAACTGGGAAATTTGGGATTTAAACACTCAACACGAGAAAAGTTTAGATGAAAGCGAAAGTTTATTTGTTGATTCAAACAATATTGAAGGAGAATTGACTCATAGTTTTCAGCTAGATTCGTTTGAAGCAAAGCAGTTGAATGTGTACGCATCTCCTACCAAGTTTAATAACTCGGTAGATTTAAATGACTTTAACGAAATAGGAAAAGAGGACTCGAAAGGGTTTAGCAAAAGTTTTAGTTACATATCAAAAAATTCTTCTAATAAAGAGAACGTTAAAGGAAAACATAGTACGAGTTTAAATTTGGACAAATTTAAACAATGGTTTAGCCCGCTTAAAAAGTCGTCTTCCGAAGAAAAGTTAACGCGGTCAAATAAAAAGTCTAATTTTAACGAAAATAACAGATTGCTAGTTACTATCAGTCCGCCTGATAGTGCAAGTAGCTCGCAAGATAAAAAACAATCATACACTATTACTTTTAAACCTGAAAATCGTATTAATAACAAAGCTTCAACAGTACTAAATACAGCTACGCTACAAAAAAGTATGCTTGCTATTGCATTAGGTGTTGGATTAGGCAAAGAAAATCAAACAAACGATGCAATCTGCAATGCTTTACTTCCTCATACGGTAGTAGAGCGCGGCGAGTTTTCACTCGGAGAAAATATTGAACCTTCTTCGTCTGATGAATCTGGTGACAAATCTCAAAAGAATAATTTTATAGATTTTTCTCCATTTGAAGATATGAATTTAAGTCATCCCAAATTTTCGACCCCAGAAGAAATGGTTCAAACAAATAATCCAATCATTAGCAATAATTCAAAAGATAGCATAGATGTTAACATACGAAAACAGGGTTCTCATATTCGAGCCCTAAATTTTGAATCTGATTCTGACTCTACCCCAATTAGTTTAGATAAAAACGAAAACGAACAAATTTTGTATAACGATCAAATGGCTTCTGGATTGCGTATTACATTGCAAGATACTGACGCAATTAGTTCTATTACTACACCTTATGCTGACAATGTAAATCTCTTTTATAACCACAAACTTTTAGAAAAAGACGAAGGTTTAAGTGAAGATTACCTAAGGGATAGTCGCCTTGATTCATTTGAGCTCCATGAAATGGAGTGCATGGGTACAAGCAGTGCTCGTAGCTCACCCGAAAAAGTACCGTCTGAATCTGAAGACGGGAGAGAGAATGGTGTAATTTATCATCTGGAAAATGGGGAGAATAGAAAAATGACTTTAGAGTTGTTAAATTATATGCCTTCTATTCTTGAAAGATCATCAGAACATGAAAGTGAAAGTCGTGGTAATTTGATGTTTCTTTTAAATTTATCCATTTTTTTTTTTTTCAATTTTTATGTATATTAAGGAAATTTTTCTTAAATTTTAAAACCTCGTTAAACCTCTTTTTTAGATAGTTTAGATGGCACTTTAGCATCAAAACTTTTCAACCAATCGGTGTGTAATTTTTACGTTTGTTTTAAGATTATGTGATAGTTAATTTAAAAAGGAATAAATTGCGTTTATATCTAAAAAAAAGCAAAGACATATTTAAAAAACTAAAGATGAAGCGTGATGCATATTTAGTTAACGATTGTGTTTTAGATTGACGTAAAGAAACAAAGTGATTTAACAAGCGATAACTTTTTGGATGAATGTGTTGAGATAAATATTGAGTCTAAGTATGAAGATAGCACAAAATGTCATTTGAATACTCCTGTAACTAACGTCAAACAATCATCCAGCCATAATGACCTTAAATCAGTTATTAACACTAAAAATTATGATTCGAATGCATCAGGAAGTGCCGCCAACACACAACCGTGCACGTGTCGTGACGTACACGGGTGCAATCATGTAGACTTTAATACAAATACTAAAGAAGGTATGATATTTATTAATATTGTTAAATATTTTTAGATTGTGCATTTTAGACACTAACAGTTTATCATTTAGTTTACGATTTACTTCTTAATAGTTTTTTGCAGGCTAGATAAGCAAAAATTCAAAATTAATTTTGTAGAATATATTTTTTAGAATTTAGATCAATAATAAAAGATATTTGAAAAAATAATCAAATATTGAGTAGGGAATTGGTAAAAAGGAGCGAGGTCAATTGCGGAAAAGTTAGTTGATTTCTGCAAAGGATAAGAGCTTTTCTCAAATAAGGTTTTTCCTACTCCTTGATTGTTCAAGTAATTGTTTTTCATTAAAAATTTAGTTAAGTTTTTCTCAAACTTTTTTTAACTTGAAGTTTCCATACGTAGTCATGTAGCCGGAAGTTTTTTTAAGGGGTGGAGCCTCAAATTTTTATGTTGCTTTAAAAATAAATAAAAATTTTTAAAAGAGTTCCGGTTGCAGAAATCAAAAACTTGCGTTTTGAACTATATTATTCATAATCTCCTTTCTAAATAGTCACTTTGAAATCTCCCAATTTAAAGAAATTTAAATACATCATTAAGTACATCAACTAATAAAACATGATAAAATTGGTGAATACATTATGAATTTATTAAAACCCACCATCTTTAATTAACCTACCATCTTGCAAAAAAATGAGGTTTGTGCTACTTTTAATATCAGGACGTATGAGAGAAAAGCTGCAAGTGTAGTTTTAAGGTTGTTTGTTTGTAAAACTTTGAAAGTTATTTATTTTCCTTATAGGGTAGATTAGGGTAATATGAGCACCTTGGTAATATGAGCATACTTAAAGATTTATTAGATGTAAGCAGTGAAGTTAAAGTTGCTTTATGTTTTTCGAATCGACTTTATGTGGTGATAACAGGAATCAGTACAATTAGCGTAAATTTATACGCAGTAATTAGCGGATATCATCTAATTAAAACGCTTTTAATTTTTTTGCTTTGTTAAAAAAAATCATCACGCGTGATTAATTCTGTGGCGCGATATTTTGGTGCTAAAATAATGAAATTAATTTTTTCATAAAGAAAAATATATTAGCTAAAATCCAATTCATTTTTGTTTGAAAAATAATGCATAGAAACATTTATTTTTGACTTTATTTAAAGATACCGTTTTTGTGTAATATGAGCATGCTCAAATTACCCAGTGTTTTTCATTGAAATTGCTTAGTTTAAAGTCCTAAAATAGCAGTGGTTTTTAATTGCTTCTAGAATAAAAACAAAACATGGTAAAAAATTTTAATATATTAACAATACTAAATTTTTTTCTGTAACTTAAATCTTAAAAATATTAATTTTTTTTGTTCAAAGGTTTGAGTTAACAAAATTGAAAAAACAATGTATCAATTTTTTTTTTTTGGCGGAAAACATAGTAGTATTGTTTCAACAAAATGTAGCTTAAAATTTGATCTTTTAATGATATGTTTTGTTAATCACAAATCCTTATATTCCAACAATTAGTTCTATTAAGCAGGTTGGTCCTTTTTTACTTAATTAATGCTATTTTTTTTGAGCTAATTTAAAATGCTCATATTACCAAGGGGTCAGGGTGATACGAGCACTTTTGCTACTTTTTTAAGACCGTGTTTTTAAGAAAAAATGTCAAGTGCCCAAATATCTAAATAGATTATAAATAGGGATCCCTAAAAATTGTTTATTTGCAAAAATTTTGGATCCAGCATATTTTATTTTTGAAAATATTCCAATTTTTGCTTAAGGTGCTCATATTACCCTAATCTACCCTATGTAAAGTTTTTGTAAGTTACGTTTGCAAAACTATATTTTATTTAGAAAGAGAAAAAATGTGTTTAAAAAATTACAATATTAGTGTAAATACATTTATAACATCTTTTAATATCATTTTAAGCACCTTTTTGGTGCCCTAATCTTAAAATTTCCCATTGGTCTCCATTTGTCACCTTTATTTCAATTTGACACCAACATGATAATCGAACATTCCTTTATCATCTTTTTGCGATGCTCTATTGAAAATTAGTATTTATTGTTGTTCTTACCTAGACTAAAGCTGCCTTACGTTTGCTTACTACATTGTATGTAGCGACCACTATATTGTATGTGGTGCTCACTGCATTTTATGCTGTCCTACTGCATTATATGCGGTGTTCACTACAATATATGCGGCGCATATATTGTAGTGAAACACTAATTTAAAAGTTACGTATATAATTTATTTATAATGACCATCAGCTAAAAGAAGTAAGTTTTCGACGAGTTATAAAAATTAATCTTTTTCATCTTATTGTGAAAATGTAACTATTAAACTGATTTTAAAATATGGCTATTGACATAATTTTAAATTTTTTTTGAGAGACGTTAAACTTATAGATGTTTCAAACTAGCAAAAATAATGGAAATCAAGAATTAAATATTCAAGCGGTAAAATTTAAATGCGAACGTACAAAAATAGTTAACGGATAATAGTTTGCTAACTTTATTAATAAATAAATTTCCGAAACGCAAACAAAAAATGCTTATCCAAGTATTAAAAGTTCAACGTAGAATACGGTATTGCAAGAATCTATATTGAGATTAGACGATTTATAAAAACGAAAGGAAAACAATCTTCATCGCAGAATGTACAAAGTACAAGGCCCAAACTATCTATGATACGTCGATAAAAATTTATTTATTTCTGGCATTATAAAAAATTAAAGTTAGTACTTTACTTTTTTATAATGCCAGAATGATTTTAGTTGCTCACTATTTTCCACGTGTTCAACTAACAACAAAACTAACATCGCGTTAAATTGGTTTTTAAAAGGTGCAATTCAATACGGCCTCACAAGTAGAACCATATCAGACAAAATTATGGAGGAAATATTATGGATAGATGTTTTTTCTGGTGCACTGAGTTTCTATTATAAGGTATATTATGACAAAAAATTGCTTCTCGGCCTAATGGCTAAGATCAAGTGTAGTATCTGTTCTTATTTCGGCTCCGGGCCATCTCACAATTGGTTACGGTGTTGTTAGAAAGCAGAAACAGCACAAGATCGAAACTGTGACAGTCGATAAAGGTTCTTGGCGTAGTCGCTTTTTCAGTGTCTCCTTCAACGTCCGGAAATTTCAAAGCGATCCGTCCACTCCGGACGTTAAATGGAGATAAGCCATTAATTTGGCGCTGCTCAGTTTCGGCTGAGTGGAAACTAAACCTTTAAGTGTGCTATACCTAAACCCTTAATTGGGCTAAACACGGAGTCTCGGCCCCTGTGTAAGTCTGGTTTGAGCAGCAGGTGTCTCTAGTTGGTTGGTAAATAAATAAAAAATATATATATATTATGACAAAAAATTATATTATTATAAAAAATATATATATATATATATATATATATTATGACAAAAAATTATATTATTATAAAAAAAAAAAAATATTATGACGAATTCTGCAAATGAAGACTTTAAAAGTATTGACGATTGTTTGAATGACAGTTTTACATGACATAAATAAATAGCTGCTAAAAAATCTTATTAGAATAAGCAATCTAAAGATGAAATCAAATAACTACAATTGTATGTATATAGAAAGAATATGTATATGTATTCCTTCTATCAGAACCGTCCTTAGGGTGGTGCGAGTGGAGCAACCGCTCCACGCCTCGCGCTAAGGAAAGCCTCGCCCAGTGAGGCCATTTAAGTGCAAGCAATCAAAACTTTTACTTATTGTTAACGAGAGTAAGGCCTCGCGCAGCCTTACTCTTGTTAGCAAAATTTTCATTTTGTTTTTCAAAAATAAAAATAAAAATATCTAAGAAGAAGAAAAGAAAATTAAATGAAATACTATAAAATTAAATTCAAAAGTAGCGTAAGTAAAATTAAAAAAATAAAATAAAATAAAAGTTAAAAATGAATAGGTTGCACACCGGACCTCTGTCAGAAGGAGCAGTTATTCTTGGTGATACGATTTGTAAAAATAAATATGAATGCAACTTCTCTTAAGAGTGAAAATCAAGATGTAAGCATTAATTAAACAAAACAAACAAACAATTATTTTCTTTTACTCAACTAGATTATTTATATACTAGTCGAGAAGGAAACATCGTAATAGCAGAGCTAATCGAGACGAGTTCCATTCGTACCGAAGTACAACTCATACGCTGAGCAGGCGGAGCCGGGATTTGAACCTACAATCCTGTTGCTACGGCCAATAATTTTTCTGAACTCTATAGCAACGCTTTAACCAACTGAGCTATTCCGGCTTAATTGTTATCCGTTTAGTTAATAAGAATTCTTATAAGAACGAGAAGTCATCATCAAAGAACATTTTCTTGGATTCTTAGACGTTAAACCAACAACGGAAAAAAATCTAACTGATTTTCTTTTATGAGTTAGATGAAGTTGAATTGCAAATAATGGACTGCAGGGGACAATGGTATGACAACGGTTCCAGTATGAAAGGTATCCACTCTGGAGTACAGTCACGGATTTTAGAAATAAATTCTAATTATAGCCTCAACCTCCTAATTTGGGACGCAGCAAAATTTTCACCTAAATCTATGACGTTTTTTGGAATTGTGCAAAGAGTTTATATACTTTTTTCTTTGTCAACAATGCAGTGGTAAATGTTCATGAAACACATACCAAATCTGACTGTAAAATGGTCCTGTGGCGCTTGTTGGGAAATTAAACTGGAAAGCATAAAAGCGTTTTGATATCAATTAAAGAAAGTTGCATTAGTTGAACTAGTTAAGTTCACTGAGGATTTAAAAGCCAATAATGAAATACCATCAGTTATGAATAAAATTAGTAGTTGTGAGTTCTTACTAGCCCTATGTGTTTAGTATGATGTACTGTTTGCAGTAAACAGTGATAGCAAAAGCCTATATGTTTAAAAAAATGCTACTTGGAGTTGCGTCGCATTTACTTCAAGAGCTAATTCAGTTTTTTCAGAAATTTAGAGATGATGGTTTTATGGCGGCAACATTGTTGGCAAGAGGACTTGGTTAAACTCTTGGTGTAGAGCCAAATTTCAAAGAAGCCAGGCAGAAAAAGATAAGAAGAATGTTTGAGTACAAGGGAGAAGATGATCCTACGGCAGGATCTGCGTAGCAAATGTTTAAAGTAGAGTATTTTTTTAATGCAGATAGAGCATTACAGTCTTTGAAAAGAAGATTTGAACAAATAACAAATCACGTGATACAAAAATTCAAACATACTATGTTTGAATTTTTGTCAAAAAACTAAAAGCAGTAAAAGAAGATAAATTGTTTCAAAAGTGTAATATCCTAAAATCTAGAATCGTTCCTAAGCTTTAAAAAAGAAAATGACGTTTGTGGAAATGCCGTAGGCTCAGTTGTGAACACTCATTATAAAACATCTATCTACTTATGACTCATAAGTAGGTAGATGTTTTATAATAAGTGTTCACATCTGTAAAATTAAAGACATTAGTTTTATAATAGAATCCTTGAAAATATTAATTAATAAAAACAATTTTTTCTTGTTAACTGTAAAAACAAATGTCCATGGTTAGATAATTTTTAAAATTGCTTCAAAATTATATGTTTTCAGCAATCAATATGAAGGGTGCTTATAATGAGCACTCTTCATATTGATTGCTGAAAACATAAAATGTGCTAACAACATTACTATTTTGTAATAATATGTTATAATACTTATAATTGGTCATTCAATAATAACCCAACAAAGAAAAATTTATTTGTTACTCTAATTCATTTATTTCTTGTCACACAAAAATTATTATTTATTTTACATTATTTGGCCCTTAATACCTTTAAGAATAAACTTTATTGTTATTATTCTAGATTATTTTATAAAGCACTCAGTCCTTTTAATAAATTTGGGATGTTATTCCAAAACATTTACTATAATTTATTAAGTATTATGTCAACTTTCAAATTTTTAAAAAAGTTTTTTCAAATATTGTTTTTAAAAAAAATATATAAAAATACGTATTTTTGTTTGTACCAAAATATATTTATTATGGTGTACTTGGTGTTTCAAACATATTTTCAATAATTCGTGATTAAATTTAAAATAAGTTTAAAGTTAACTGGAATAAAACATTGTAATGCATCAACCTACAAAGTTTGAACGAGAGAAAATTTAAATAAGGGATTTAAATCACGTCACAAAGAAGTCACAAAGTTATTTAATTTTAGACATTTTTTAGACCATTTATGGATGTATAGGAAAAAAATTTCATTTCAGATATTTCTTTTTATATGTTTCTCATCAGAAAATCATTAGTTATTGGCTTTATTTCAATTTTTTGTTAAAAAAAGCATTTTAGTAGTGTACCACCCAAAAGTAGCGTGTAAGTAGTATTTTAGTAGTGTACCACCCAAAAAACAACTACAAGCATAAAATGTAATTTTTCAAAATCATTTACATTAACGAAATTTCTTAGATTGTATTTGAAATATTTATACAGTTTCTTAAAACATCATTTTAATAAGACAATTGAAAGTTCTCTGAAAATTTTACTATTTTGTCAATACCAAAAAAATTGAACCAACAATATGTCAAAAACAATTGTTAACAGTTTCTATACTCAGTTTTTAAGTATTTTAATTAACAGGTTTTATATTTATAATGAAGTAACCACAGCATAAAGTGTAAAATGCAGTTGCACATCATATAATGTGAGCGTTGCATATTATGTAGTTAGCGCCGCAAAGTACGCCTACAACGCAACATATAATATTGTGAGCGTCGCAAATAATGCTGAAAGCGCAGCATATATTATAGTTAGCGCAGCGAATTATGCAGTGTGGGGGCTAAAGGCAGCTTTGGCGATTCTTAGCAATTGTTTTGATGTTTTGATGAAGTTTTTTGTTTTGCTTTGATGTTTAAGTTACTAGCGTTGAATATACTGACGTAAAGTATAAAATATACTGACACACAAAATTTTGAAACAATCTTGATGATACATTTAGATAACGAACAAAGTGAGAAGAAAAAAAAACAAATTACAGCAGAAAAACAAAATTTTGGTGATATAAAGCAAAGCTTTAATGGAACTTTCGAAGATATAAAAAATGACTCCGCTAAATGTGATTTGTATGATCCAAATCAATACCTTATTCAAAAAGCTGCAATCTTACAAAACGACAAATCAAGGTATTTGATAAATTCATGTAATTATATTGCTTTATATTTAAAATTTTTGAAATTTGTATAAAATTTTTTTTTTTAATTTAGTTTGGTGTTTGAAGTTCCCATAGATAAACTTGAAGATTGTTTATCAAACACAAAACACTTTGACGCTGCACTAACGCCTAATAAAAATGATAAAAAAGAGATTACACTAACGCTAAACAAAGAAAGTGAAACAAATGTTATTTTAACGCCTGATAAAAATGACAAAAAAAAGATTGTATTAGCGCTAAACAAAGAAAGTGAAACAAATGATATTCTAACGCCTGATAAAAATGACAAAAAAGAGATTGTACTAACGCTAAACAAAGAAAGTGAAACAAATGATATTCTAACGCCTGATAAAAATGACAAAAAAGAAACTGTACTAACCCTAAACAAAGAAAGTGAAACAAAAGATATTCTAACGCCTGATAAAAATGACAAAAAAGAGATTGTACTAACGCTAAACAAAGAAAGTGAAACAAATGATATTCTAACGCCTGATAAAAATGAGAAAAAAGAGACTGTACTAACGCTAAACAAAGAAAGTGAAACAATTGATGTTCAAACGCCTAATAAAAATGATATAAAAGAGATTACACTAACGCTAAATAAAGAAAGTGAAACAAATGTTATTTTAACGCCTGATAAAAATGACAAAAAAAAGATTGTATTAGCGCTAAACAAAGAAAGTGAAACAAAAGATATTCTAACGCCTGATAAAAATGACAAAAAAGAGATTGTACTAACGCTAAACAAAGAAAGTGAAACAAATGATATTCTAAAGCCTGATAAAAATGACAAAAAAGAAACTGTACTAACGCTAAACAAAGAAAGTGAAACAAATGTTATTTTAACGCCTGATAAAAATGACAAAAAAAAGATTGTATTAGCGCTAAACAAAGAAAGTGAAACAAATGATATTCTAACGCCTGATAAAAATGACAAAAAAGAGATTGTACTAACGCTAAATAAAGAAAGTGAAACAAATGATATTCTAACGCCTGATAAAAATGACAAAAAAGAAACTGTACTAACCCTAAACAAAGAAAGTGAAACAAAAGATATTCTAACGCTTGATAAAAATGACAAAAAAGAGATTGTACTAACGCTAAACAAAGAAAGTGAAACAAATGATATTCTAAAGCCTGATAAAAATGACAAAAAAGAAACTGTACTAACGCTAAACAAAGAAAGTGAAACAAATGTTATTTTAACGCCTGATAAAAATGACAAAAAAAAGATTGTATTAGCGCTAAACAAAGAAAGTGAAACAAATGATATTCTAACGCCTGATAAAAATGACAAAAAAGAGATTGTACTAACGCTAAACAAAGAAAGTGAAACAAATGATATTCTAACGCCTGATAAAAATGACAAAAAAAAGATTGTATTAGCGCTAAACAAAGAAAGTGAAACAAATGATATTCTAACGCCTGATAAAAATGACAAAAAAGAGATTGTACTAACGCTAAACAAAGAAAGTGAAACAAATGATATTCTAACGCCTGATAAAAATGACAAAAAAGAAACTGTACTAACCCTAAACAAAGAAAGTGAAACAAAAGATATTCTAACGCCTGATAAAAATGACAAAAAAGAGATTGTACTAACGCTAAACAAAGAAAGTGAAACAAATGATATTCTAACGCCTGATAAAAATGAGAAAAAAGAGATTGTATTAGCGCTAAACAAAGAAAGTGAAACAAATGATATTCTAACGCCTGATAAAAATGACAAAAAAGAGATTGTACTAACGCTAAACAAAGAAAGTGAAACAAATGATATTCTAACGCCTGATAAAAATGACAAAAAAAAGATTGTATTAGCGCTAAACAAAGAAAGTGAAACAAAAGATATTCTAACGCCTGATAAAAATGACAAAAAAGAGATTGTACTAACGCTAAACAAAGAAAGTGAAACAAATGATATTCTAACGCCTGATAAAAATGAGAAAAAAGAGATTGTACTAACGCTAAACAAAGAAAGTGAAACAATTGATGTTCAAACGCCTAATAAAAATGATATAAAAGAGATTACACTAACGCTAAATAAAGAAAGTGAAACAAATGTTATTTTAACGCCTGATAAAAATGACAAAAAAAAGATTGTATTAGCGCTAAACAAAGAAAGTGAAACAAAAGATATTCTAACGCCTGATAAAAATGACAAAAAAGAAACTGTACTAACGCTAAACAAAGAAAGTGAAACAAAAGATATTCTAATGCCTGATAAAAATGACAAAAAAGAGATTGTACTAACGCTAAACAAAGAAAGTGAAACAAATGATATTCTAAAGCCTGATAAAAATGACAAAAAAGAAACTGTACTAACGCTAAACAAAGAAAGTGAAACAAATGTTATTTTAACGCCTGATAAAAATGACAAAAAAAAGATTGTATTAGCGCTAAACAAAGAAAGTGAAACAAATGATATTCTAACGCCTGATAAAAATGACAAAAAAGAGATTGTACTAACGCTGAACAAAGAAAGTGAAACAAATGATATTCTAATGTCTGATAAAAATGACGAAAAAGAAATTGCACTGGCACTAAACAAAGAAGGCGAGGAAAATTTTATTCTAATGGCTAATGAAAATGACGAAGCGGACGTTATTACAAGGCATTTTTCAATAAATGAAATTAATGGCAGTTTAACGTCTAATACAAATGATGAAGCGGATACAACACAAAAGCTTAATAACTGCAATGAAACGTTTAATAGTCAAAATAATTATGGATCTGATACAAATGTTTCAACAGCTCAAGAATTTCTAGTAGATAATTCTAAAAATAAATCAAAGAAGTGTTTATGGTACAATTATACCGAAGACGAGTTTAAAGCTTGCAATAATGGAGTTGACAAAGTTTATGAAAGTGATTCCATGGAGAAAGTGCTTGTAGTTGAAGCAAACCCAGTTTATAACACACAGCAATTTTTAAACACTTCACTAGTTGTTCAAACAAGCCATATTTTTAATGTAGATGATGGTTGTTTAAAAAATCAACAATCAACCTGCGATATAAAGAGTGAATGCAAAGTACTTTATAAAGAGCTTTACGGAAAAGAAATCCATTCTAGTAACATTTCGATGACAGAAAAATTGACTACAACATCTTTAACATCATCTAAAACAATTACTTCATTTCTGACTACATCTCCAAAGACATCTCTGACAACGGTTTCAACAACATCTGAAACAACCTTTTCAACAACACCTCTAACAACATCAACAGCGTCAGAAATGTCAACAACGATAACATCCCCGACAGCACTTAAAATATCTGCAATAACATCTCCAGCAACATCTCCAACAACAAAGTCTAAAATACTATCTCCAATAACACCTCCAAAAATATCTATATCACCTGTAAAAACGCCTCCAAAAATATCTCCATCCCCAGTAACAACGCCTCCAAAAATATCTCCAATAACAACATTTTTAATAAATTCTCCAACAACATTTGCAACAACATCAGGAACATCATCTCTAACAACATCTTTTAATGCATCATTATCAACACCTCCAACAACACCTGCAAAAACATCTTTAGCATCTTCAATTACACCTACATCCCCATCTTTTAAAACATCCCAATCTTTCAAAATATGCTCCAAAATCTCTCCAATAACATCTACAACAACAGCTTCAACAACAATTTCAAATAGAAAGTTACCAATGATAACCTCAACAGTACAATCGACATCTGAAGCAACGTCTTCAACAAAAACTACAACTTTTGTATCAATAACATCAAATGAGTGTGTTGAAACTAATAATGTAACCGTTGAGGAAGAAACTATTAGAGAATGCATTGTCAGAGTAAACAATATATCAGATAATGCAAAAGATGATGTAAGTCATTCTTCTATGAGTTTCAGAAATTTACCTAAAAGCAATTTTATTGATAACGAAACTCACGCAATATACCCCACCTCTGGTGATACAAACAATATAACCACGCGAAGGATCATTAAAAAAAAAGAATCACTTATATGGGATAATCTGTTGCCTCAATACGAGGAATACAACGAGAATATAACAAAAGATTCTAAAAAAGAATCGTTGCAACAAATTTCTCAAAATCTTCAAGAAGAGAACCAAATTAATTTCGTTAACAAAGAAGAAAATATAAAAATAAATGAGGGGAAAAAAGGAAAAGATTTTTTTGAAAAACCCAAAACAATTTATATTGATACTTTACCTGAACGTAAGTTAGATATAAATGAAGATATAAATGAAGTTTGTGAAAAGATACCCTTAAATATCTTTACTCATAATGAAGTTTGTGAAAAGATACCCTTAAATATCTCTACTTATAATCAATTGCAAAAGACTGAATGCAATGAAAACTGCAAATCAGCTGATTTCAAAAATCAATTAGATTTATCATTTAATTCTAATATGTTACAAGAAAACAAATTACATGTCAACCTCGGAAATAAAAATTCAAATGACGCAGGTATACTTTTTACAGATATATACTTTTTAAACTTAAGTTTTATGATCGTCTCTTATATAGTAAGAGTCACATATACAAAGTCACATATACCAAGTCATAACGAGTCACATATACCAAGTCATAACGAGTCACATATACCAAGTCACAACGAGTTACATATACCAAGAGCAACTTTTGCTGTAGTTATTATATATATTATCAAATCTTTTTTTTTAACGCTTCAAAAACTTCCCGGTTTGTTCACTACAATCAAAAAAAAAAAAAAAAAAAAAAAAAAAGCAGAAGTTTGTACCTCAAGGTAGTATATGTAGTATACCCTTAGTAAGGTATTAAGTAAAGTAGTTATATAGTATACCCTTAGTAAGTTATATTTTTTAGTCTTTCTAAGGTAGAAAATTATGTTACAAATAATCTTTTGTCATAGAAATCTTTAAATCAGAAATATGTACGTTACTAAGGTTGTATCACATATCCTACCCTTAGGTAAGAATTTCTACCATTTTTTAAAGTGTTACCACCACCACAATTTGATCCATATCAAGCAAAAAGCAAACTTATATTTTTCTAATTTTAATTGTAATATGCATTTAATTTTATTTGCGAAACTCATTCAATTTTAAATTATAATATACATTCAATTTTATATGTGATATACATTCAATTTTAATTTCTGTATAAATACAATTTTTAATTGGAACATACATTTTTTTTTGTCTATTAGTTTTGTGGTGTTTTTATTGATTTTAATGCCTTAATTTTTTTTTTTTGATTAATTTTTTTATGTCTAGAAAAGTTAATTTAAAGAGAGTTTTCATGAAGTATAAGCTGATCCTTTATATTTTAAAACTAAATATATTTAGATGTTCATAACTTTGTTCACGTTAAAGGGGATGATATGGACGAGCAACTATTCCAGTCAAAAAGCAGCGAGTTAGATGCTTGGGTAACCAGTATTAATTCTTCGTTATCAAATAGAAAAGAAGTGGCTAAATTATATGCAATGCTTTCTTTAAATTATTTTCAAATCATCAATGAGAGTGCAGATAAATGTCAGGAAGATTTAGATAATAGACAGAAATATGCAAATAAAGCTAAAATATGTATTGATAAAGCTCATGCTCTTTACAACATTTTAAAAGATAACGAAGAGTGTAGTTTTGAAAGTGTTATAAAATACTTATTAGAGTTTCAAGAAGATTGTTTTGGGCTTTCTTGGCCTGAAATAAACAAAAATGCTCAGGCTTTAATCGTTTTTTTGAATAGTGTATTCAAAGAAAGTGATGTAATTACTAAACACATTCAATTTGTAGGTGAATTGGTAGCAAACCCCAAAATGTACTTATACAATCTTTCCACTCCAAGGATTGAATTGTTAAAAACATGTTTTTTTGAAGAATTAAAGCATTTAAAAACATGCAATGATAATGATTATTTGATAAAATGCTTTATTATGATATCGAGATACTTTGTTTTACTTGATCAACCGACTACAGAATCATTGACAAAAGAACATTTGTTGCCTTTTATTAACGAAAAGAATGGCGCCGAGTTTTTAATTAGTATTGTTACTTACATGGGTCTGTTTAAATCTAATAGTAAAAATATGGATGTAACGTGCGATGCAACAACTTCTTTAATTCTTTTAACAATTATTTTCCAAAACAAAAACTTTGATTTTAAAATTAAAAAAGACCTCGTACAGTTTTTAGAGATCACTGCTAAACAATTTCAGTTTTGTAATCAAGAGAGGTTGAAGCTTCTTCATTGTATAACATCTTAAATAAATTAATATTTTGTTGTTAAATTTACTTTGAATTATTTAAAGTAAAGCCATTTATTTACATTGATACGATGTAAATTATAAAAAGAATTAATTCTTAGCGATGTAATTAATTAACTATAGTAGTGTAATTAACTTGCATTCTGTGATATATATATTTGAAAATTTTAATATAATATAAAATACACATTTAAAATACATTTTATTGAACTTACAGTTTAGCTTGGCTCCACTGTTTTTAGTATTTTAAAAGTTTTTTTAATTAATTTTATAATTAATGCTATTTGTTTATACCGGTTTTTGCATTTAATCTGATGGTTTTTTGCACGAATCGATGGGTTTTTTTTATATTTAATCTGGCGGTTTTTTACATTCTATCTGACGGTCATAAAGATGTTAGCGTAACGAGGGGCAAAATGAGACACTTAAGCACTAATTTATCTAATACGGCCCGTCTAACAACTTTTGAAAAAATAACTTGATATTTTTCAATTCTTCTACCATCCAACTTGAAGCTTACTAAATATGAGTTGCAAAACTGCATTTGGTCACCAGAGATCATTTATTGACAGCACCTATCCTGTCTCATTTTGCCCTGCATACCGGGGCAAAATGAGACATATTTTTTTTTTTTTTTAGTAATTTAAATAAATAAAGTTAAACAAAACAGATCTTTAAGAGGATTAGCAAGAAATACATTTTATAATATATTACAGCTATAATCAAACTGTCACTAGTCACATAAATCACATATTGCTTGACCAGTATTTTAAAACGAAAAACAGTCCGAATAAGCCCAGGTTGTGCATTTTGAACATTGACTTCTCTCCTATATATACACACACACACATATATATATATATATATATATATATATATATATATATATATATATATATATATATATATATATATATATATATATATATATATATATATATATATACATATATATATATATATATATACATATATATATATATATATATATATATATATATATATATATATATATATATATATATATATATATATATATATATATATCCACTAGAAGAACTAATAAAACCATACATGCATATATTGAACTTATGTATTTAAAGCACACATAACATTCATTGTATTTTGTTTATAGTTTACTGCAATAACCTATATGCTATAATCTACTCACTACATATTTTATATACTACTTACTTTATTACATTACAATTACATATACAATACAATAAGGTTATAAAATACAAAGATAGTAAATATAAACATCAGGCAATTGATTTGATTATTATTGACAATTTGATTAAATATTTATTATATTTAAATATAAGTTAACAAAATATAAAACATAATTCTATATTGGATAACAACTAAACATTTCAATTAACAAAATAAAAAGTAAGTAAATACAGTATAATAAATTTAAATCTAAAGCATGTAAATATTAACATTTGCTAAGTTTGTTGTTTTAATGTAAAAAATTAAACAAACATATTATTAGATATCGGCAAAACAAATACTAACAGAATGTCTCGTTTTGCCCCGCATCATATTGGCATCGAATTGCCTAATTTCCAGGCTATTTTATTGAAGAAATAAAATACCAAAGAATGGAAATGATAGAAAAAGGCCTAAAGGGGGGAGAAAGAAGAGTTTACCTTGGTGATGGAGAACGTTAACTTTCATCATTCATTGTTAGATTTATACGCTTTTTATTTTTATCTCTATGACATTTGTTTTTAGCCCGATACTCACCTTTTCTAAAGAAGAATTCACTAAAATTAAGAATACTACAAAAAGACAAATAGCTCTGATCGGAAATAGAAATTTATTAGAACGAATGAAGAACGTTTGTGAGCACATATATATATATATATATATATATATATATATATATATATATATATATATATACATATATATATATATATATATATATATATATATATATATATATATGTATATATATATATATATATATATGTGCCGGCGCGAGTAGGTGTCACATTACAACTTTTGCCTACTAAAATATATATAAAAAAAAAAAAAAAAAAAGGTCCTCGTTTTCCAAAATTTACCGATTGCCCTTACGACTGTCGAAAATATTTTTTGTACTATTCTCAACAAGACTTACATTTATCCATAAATTTTAAATTTCATTGTAAAATATTTCAGTGTTAAAAATTATGACCATGTAAAGTTTGAATCCCCCTCAATTCGAGGGGGTTACAATTTTTATATGGTCATAATTTTTGAGCGCTAACATATTTTACAATGGAATTTAAAATTTGTTGATAAATATAAGTCTTGTTGAGAATAGTACAAAAAATATTTTATTAACTTGTTGCTCTCACGTTTGGGGCAGGTACGTCTCAAATTTTGGGGATTTTTTGTTCCCAGGCTCCAATCATTGCAAATTTTTGCAAACCATCCTTATTTGATATAAGTACAAACATATAAATGTTTGGAGTTTGCTCCATGTCTGGAAGTTAGCTATCTCAAACACCAAAAAATGCTGGATCCGCCCCTGTATATATATATATATATATATATATATATATATATATATATATATATATATATATATATATATATATATATATATATATATATCAAATATATATATATATATCAAATATATATTATATATATGTATACATACACATATATTACCTGGTGAAATACAGGTAAAAGTAAGTTACGATGTCTTTATCGGCATCAGAAGCATGCAATGCGCGTAATATATTTTTCAAATCGTTTTTCAAACCTTTATTTAAAGAAATGAATGTTTTAAATGTTTATGAACTTAACATTTGTAATACTTTATGTTTTGCGTTTTGTTGTATGAATAACCCATTAATAAATATTTTTAAAGATATACACCCTTAAAGCAAAAAATTAGTATAGCTTGCAAATAATATGCAAAATAATAGCTCTTTTAACGAACCCTTTTGTCAAACAAAGTTTAACCAATTTTGTATAATTTATCGAGCACGGCATCTTTTAAATAAAGTTGTTCTACCCAAATTTGATTTGTCAATCTCTTTTTCAGTTTTTGAAAATAAGTTAAAGATTATTATTGTTTCAATGGATAATAATATTAAAATGTTTTTGACACAATTATGGATAAACCACAAAAATGATCAGTCACAATTTCAATTGTAATTTTTGCTTATTAAATTAATTTCAATTCTCTCAAAATGTTTCTATTAATTAAATGCTAAAATCAGAAATCAAAGACACATTCCCTAAACATATCCTTCGAAAAATTTGACTTCAAGGTCAAGGCCGTCCCAAAAAGGTCTTCTATGGGGGAGGGGGTGTATGTATTTTTTTGCCAACTAAGGACACAAAAAAAAAAAAAAGGTCCTCAATATTAGCAATTTGCCAACTATAGATCAAAACTTGCTCCAATGTGCCAACTCAAATGCTTATATGACAGCTTTGGGGGGGGGGGGGGAAACGGCTCTGTTCAAAGTATTTAGATCAACATTCAATTATTGGCAAACAAATAACAACATTTTTGGGAAAAGCTAGTTCAAAAATTACGGATGTTCACATTAAAAATTGGTTTCAAGAAATCGAAGAGTGTTTAAAACAGAAAAACATCAATATCAACGAATTTGACAACCCTGACAGAATTTTAAACTTTGACGAATCGGGATTTGAAGTTGTTTAACAAAACTTTAAGGTTCTATGCGCTACTGGGTCAGAAAATGTGTGCAATAGTGCAAATAATTGCGAAAAAGGAGGAATGTACAGCTCTTTTTGGCTGCACAGCCTCGGGAAAAATTTTTCAATCTATTATTATTTATCTTGGACGTCATATTACTATAGATATGGAAATATGGACATATATACACAATCAGAATGGGTTGTAGGAATCTCCGATGAGGGCTGGCAAACCTCTAAAACATTATATGAGTATTTTCCAAACGGCCTTATTAAACGACTTGACAAAAACAAAGACAAAAGACGCGTCATAATTTTTGTTGATGGTCATAAAAGCCATGTAAACATTGAGACCGTCAAATTTTGCTAAATGGTTTAATTCTCAGTCTCCTAATGGTTTATCCTAAATAAACTAAATGGTTTAATTCTCAGTCTATGGAAGCCTGTAAAAACAAAAGTAAAGGACTGTTGTATACTCAGCCATTGGAGTTCAAAAAAGTTTATATCATGAAAGAATGTGATGATCGACACAGTGAGACGAAAATTTAGAAACAGCAAAAAAAATTCAAAACCGGAAAGTCTTGATCCCATGATAAACTTTGGTTTGTTTAGCCAAGAAAAACGCCAAATAAAAGTTCACAAAAACGTAAATCTGAACATCTTTAAACTGTTGCAACAAGCGGTAAATGATTGGAATGGTTTCAAAAAAAAAGATCAAGAAAAAAAACTAAAGGAAGAAGAAATACAGAATCAACGAGAGGCATCAATACAACAAAAAGAACAAAAAAAAGGCAGAAAAAATGAAAAATCTGAAAAAAATAAAAAATTTGCTGAAAACTAAATATTCACTGTTTTACAGTTTAAAACTGAAATAAAGAGTAAAAGATTCGTCTAAACTTTTTTGATAAATAATTGTGTCTAATCTGATCCATAATTGTAGATTGTACATTTTGCAAAAAGTTTTTTTTTATTTGTTTTAGGAAAATCGTTTTGAAATGTTTACACATTTAAACTTAATAAATTAATTTCAATCTACAGATAATGTTTTTACAAAATAATATATCCTTCTTTAATATCCTTTAAAAATACGTTCAAACTTTAAAAAAACTTAAGTGGTCCATTATTGTGGGATAACTGTATAATTTTTAACCATTTATTATTTCAACTATTTGAAATTGCTACTTTGATTTTAACTACATATATTATATTATATTGATATTTGAATTTTTATATGGTTTTTACGACAAGATCAGTATAATCTTTTTCCAAATGCCAAGTTTATATTATACGACATGTAATAAATGTAAACTGAAAAATTAAAATATATATGTATATATATATACATATAACTAGCATTGGCTACTATATTTGGATATTATTAATTTTAACACCAAATATTTATTGTTGAGATAACGAAAAACATGAATAATACTCTTTTTACTAAAATGAACCCAAAATCAGTTAAAATAAAAAATAAATAAAGTTTTAAACTTCTCCAGTAAAAAAAATGTACTGTAGATACGCGGTATTATAAAATGCTAGTTACGCGGTTTTGCACTATCCCCGACGATATATATTTGTGAACCTTAAAATATTTTACTATGAAACTTAAATTTTTTTGATGAGTATAGTCTATTATTTCATCAACTTGTGTTCTCATGTTTGGGGCAGAGGGGACTAAGATTTTAGGCTTTCTTGTTCCTATCCTCCTATCATAGTAATTTTTTTTTGTAAAGAATCTTTTCGTCATACATATAAACGTAAAAAAATTGTGAATGTTCTTTTTGTTTAAAAGTTGGTTATTTCAAACATTAAAAAAACTTCCTACGCCACTATATATATATATATATATATATATATATATATATATATATATATATATATATATATATATATATATATATATATATATATATATATATATATATATATATATATATATATATATATATATATATATATATATATATATATAGTCTTGACAACACTTTAATGGCCTAAGAGAAGTAGTCTTGACAACACTTTAATGGCCTAAGAGAAGGCACAAACTTAGTGGCTCTTTCTTACACTGCTTCGAGAGCGTCAATGTCTCAACGATGATATAAATTCCATGCCGACGAATAGAACTCAAGATTTGGTCTTATGTCCGGTAGTAAATATTTTTTGTATATCAACGAAAAAGGCAAGGATAGTGCGGATCGGGCTTCCGGGAGGATGTACGGATGGAATCCATCAATGCCTGGTGGTTTGTATATGCTCAGTTTACAGAAACGCAAATTGACTGTAGCTTAAGAAAAGTTGTTTTCATTTATGCTGAGAATCTTATCCATACGTGGCTTGAAAATAGGAGGATCCCCGGGAGGTCCTTGCTATATGCAGAGAACAACTGTTTATTCAGTAAGTTACACATCTCAGATTTGTCAGATATTAGTACGCCGTCTTCATTCTCTAGAGCTCGAATTTGATCTTTACAATTTTTTAATTAAGCCATCCGAAAGAAATGGATTATCTTTGCATTTACTTATGATTCTTTGTTTGTGCTCTTTGTTAAACGCCAGATTTATAAGGTGCTTTTGATCACGTAGTGCTGCTTGAAGTCGTGTGATTTATCTTTTGACGCTTGTTTAACTTCATTGTTTAGCCATATTGTGTCGGGTTTGAGATGGATAAGGTTGCTGCAAGTCGGAATAAAAAATGATACAGCGGTGACATATATTCTGAAAAACGGGCATAGCACTGCTTAACTGTAAGGTTTAAAAATTCAAGAAACCAATGCGTCAGTGTGTTTATAGTATAAATAAATGCTTATAGTATAGTATAAATGTTTGCGGCTTTTGTCGAAGTTGGCTGAATGATAGTCCTGTATTATTAAATCCAAGTATAGCATAGCATATATTTTTTTGGAGGATCCATGGAGAGAACCAACTTTTACACTGTAGATATATTTTGGATCATTTGCTAACACAAGGTCGAGTTTATTTTTGCCGAAAGTTGGCTCTAAGACGAACTGAGTAAGTAGGTATACTTGAACAGTTTCAAAAAATGTGTTTACTGGTATTAATCTACAGTAGTACCAGTATAGTACCCACCCGAACTGTTCCATTTGATTTCAGGGTAGTTGAAGTCTCCAAGGATGAGAAGTTTTGTAAATTTGTTTTTGTTCAATTAGAAGAGATGCTTGACGAATCGACTTTTTATTAATAGCTGCTTCGGAGTTTTGCAGCCTGTTGATGTAACTTAATAGAGTGCGTTCTGAACCAATATTTATTTAAACCCACTCTTGTTCGCTACCAGTTCTAGAAAGAGTTTTTTCTATGTTGAATTCAAAGACCGTTTTATTTGTAAAGACAACGACTTCTCCTCGAGAGGAAGAACGCAAGATGCAGAAAGGTGTTCAGTATTTATCAATTAAAATTGGCTTTTCTATGTCAAACCAAGACTCAAAAAAGTAGAGTACATCGGGAAAGTCCTTTTTACAAGTAGAAAGTTGATTTCATTGTGTTTATTTACGAGATAGGTTGGATTAGTATAGAGGCACTTGAGAAGTTCAAGAGAAAATGATGGTTTGATAACAATTGAAGAATTAAGTTTTGAATGTTGAACTGCATAATTAGACAACTAATCTTGATTTGGAAGCCTCGCATCCTGCCTTCCAGTTGCCATATAGAAATTTTTTTCGCCGTTGATGAATGGGTAATTCCGTGTCAAAACAACAACAAAAATTCCAAAAAATTAACCCACTATCTCTAAATGACTAAATTTTTGCAACAAAGATACTTAACTAGGCTAAAAAGAATTCCCCAAAGTTGTTTTAAACAAATCGGAATATTTTAGAAGTTATGCTCGTTTAAAATTTAAAACTTAGTAACATTTTTACTCATGATGCTCCCCTAGCAACGTCCTTAGTAACAAGTAAATGCTAATACATACGTTGTTACCTTAAATATATTGTTTTATAATTTGAAATTTTCCACATATTATTAGATGCTAAACTATAAAATTATACCAAGAAATAATATTTTTATTTATTTATTAATAAGTCAATAAGAGTAAATCAGCGTTTTTAATAAAATTGAAAAGTAAACATGCTTACTATAAAAAGAATTACAGAAAAGGTTATGATCTATATATTTCCAAACTTCATAATCTTAAAGTATATATAAACATCTAAAAAAAAAAAAAAAAACTGAGCTGTTTTTTGACTTACTAATCTAAACAATTTAATTTTTATTTTTGATTGAAAGTATATTGAGATTGAGACAGAAGATTGATTGGTACTTATGTTTAGGCACAACCAGAAAGTAAGAATTCTTACTTATGTGTAAAACTACAATATGCATATTTAATAAACTCAATTAAAAATATTTAAATACTAAAAACAGGTGTTTTTACTCAAAGCTAGTCAAAAAATAAGAGGTATTTTCACTTAGGTATAAAACTGCAATATCCATGACATGTCCATAAATAAACTTTAAATATCAAAAGCATTAACTCTTTGAATTGTTTGTGCTTTTATGAATTGATAAATTTTTATACAAATTATTGAACTTCAAATATTCCTTTGTTTTTCTTTGGACTGTAAAACAAAACAAAATTAGGTAATATTTTTTAATAAATGCAAAATATTGTCATATACATATCATAGACATTAGCAAACTGTCGATTCGAAGTAATAATTGATAAAAGGAAGCAAGAAAATGTCTTTAAGATTCAAGGCCATGTTGGTGCATAAATTAAAATTCCATGTCAACTTTGCACATCACTTTGCATCTCGCAATTTTTAAACTTGTAGGTCAAGATAGAGATAGTGTCATCACTGCAGTATTTCATCTTAACTTCATTATGACATACAGGAATAAATTCATGAAAGTCTCTTGTTCCTGGTATTGTTTTTACATTTTTAAATCGTTCAGATTGTAATAATCTTGTTTCTATCAAACTTTCACTTGAAATAAAAATAAAGTTTATACCTTTGATGTTGTTAGTGCAATATGTAAACATATCACGTGAGTTTAATATTTGATTTGTAGAAATTCTCTGCAAACTAGCATTAGCTACAAGCCATTTAACTGTTCCTCCTATACCATCACAAGGTTGCTTTCCATGGCTGATTGCAAAGAAAACCCATTGTGCATCTATTCTAAAGTCTGATTTATGCTGACATAGGTTAAATATATTTTTGCAGTTTTTATATTGAGATGAACAGCCATCAGAAAAGTAGACCACGTTTACAATGCTGGGTATTTTTTGCTTCAGATTATTGATAATTGATTTTTGTACCTCGTAAACCAATGGTACATCATGAGTGTTATCATCTGATATAATGCAATATGAAGTGGAATGCAACACTTGATTTTCTTTATAGTACACAACCACTGGATGAAGTGTGCATTGAAGATTATTCCAATGGAAACCTTGTACTTCATCCTGCACAACAAAACTATAGTTTTCTGCAAAATCTCCTAGAATTATTGCGCTACCTGATGGCAGTTCTTCTTTAAGATTTTTTAAATATTTGGATTGGCATTTAGAAATATATGAATGCGTTGTTAGCTTGACAAGTTTTTCCATCACCATATTTACATAATCTGGTATGGTTACAAGCTGTATAACTAAATCTGATCTATCAGTAGTAACCCATTGGTTAAATTCGATAGTATCTTCTTCCTCAAACTGCCCTATTAGTTTGAATAGCTTTTCTTCTAATTTAGATGTATTTTTTGGACATTGTGTACATCGATGTAACATGCATTCTTTGTTTTGCATATCACAAACAATAAATTTATATAGTTCGTGGTAATCAATTTTAATGGGTAGGAGAGTTAACTTCATGTTTTGATGGTAGATACAAATGCACACAGAATGGGTTCCTGATGAGTTTGGCAAAACACACCATTTAGGTCTTAAAACACAAAACTTGGAAAAACCTAACTTTACATGTGGATATAGAATTTTAAATTCTATATCCACAAAAAAAAATAGACAAATAACTCTATTAAGCTTGACAAAAGTAGTCGCTTTTGCATATGGACTTTCCAACTAACACTTACAAAATCCTTTTGACCAGGCATCTGGCGAGAGTTTTCATCATTTTCATAAAAAATTTTCACTAAAGTATTTAATTGATCATGGAGCATTTTACCTCGCTTAGTTTGTGAAACTGCATGAACTCCTTCCTTCTTTGCTAAAGATCTAGATTTTATTATTAGATAATTTGAAACACTAAAATACTCACTAGCTGCTTTAATTGACCATTCTTGTGGGCACAAAGTCAATACTTGAATTTTGTCCCTAAATGAACTGCATTTTTCAAGTTTATCTTTGATCAAAACTAACATTTTTTCGAACTGAACAACTTTTTTTTTTAAATCAAGAACATATTCATTATCAAAAACTTCAACTTCTGTCAATGGAATTTTTAAAGAACTTGATAACTTTTCTTTGAAAACTTTTGCAATAGTTTTAATTTTTTTTTTCCCAATACTCATACGATTTGCAAATGGCTTTCTGTGAAGCTTGACTGGTGACACACCAATTATACTGAGACAATCAGAAAGTTCTTGTCTGTTTTTATTTATATCAGCTTCTTGTTGAACACTAAATATGTTTTCTTTATTTATACTTTCATTTGTGTAATCATCAGCAATATTAATGTTATCAGTATTAATTTCAGTGGAAGCTTTTAATCTGACTAAGCAATTTGTGCAAATTTTTTGACCAGGTACAATATTGATCCTGTTGTTTAAAGCTATGGTTCTTAACGTGACTTCTCTGAGAGATGCTAAATTAAAAAATATAACTTAATAAAGTAAAATGTGCCTACTATTAACAAAAATAAAGAACTTAAAATTATTACAAATTTACTATTATAAAATTTATGACAAGCTTTACCAACCTTTGCACGGTCTTTTGTGAACTAACAGTGGATCACAGCATTTATTCTGAAACACAGGAAACTTCTCAAGATAGAACTTTTGATGATGAAAACATAAGTCAATAATCAAAACAGAAGAAACACCAGACCTTAGCGCAACTAAATTTTGCTCATCTGGAGCTAAATCTTGAAAAAAGTTTATTCCAATGTGGTTTGTAAATGTTAACTTGTGACAATTTGATTTTAAAATCAATCCAACTGAGCATTGTGATGTTCCATCCATTATAAAAATATTTAATTTTATTATTTTATTTTTCTAAAACTATTATTAAATAAATAATAAATTCTCGCATGAGTATTATAATCAAAATTCAAATGTTAGAATCAATTGCTCCATTTAATTAATACAAGAAGAAAGCAGAAATTCATTTTTATTTTAAACTAAATAAGTGTAATCATATGATTAGACTTATTTAGTTTAAAATAAAAATGAATTTTTGGGTTTCTTGTTTAATTAATTAAACGGAGCAACTGGTTCTAACATTTAAGTATAACACTTATGCGAGAAACCATTATTTTTTTTGTGAGAAATTATTTTAGTTATAATCTTTAAATGGAGATTATAACCAAAACGGTAAATAAAAATGCAAAAATAAAATTGCAAAAATAAAACAATAATAAAATAGATATGTGCATCAAAAATCAATGAAATAATTTTTGCCTTTTACAGGCATTTATATATAAACTATTTTTGTAAAGATTTAAAGTGAATAGATCAATACCTTTTCTGCAATTAGTCTTAAACTAGACATGTTTACTAAAAAATTATTGTTAAAAACCCGGTTTGCATTGCAAAGTTTTTAATCAAATATAAGATCTAATAACTTTAAGTAATGATTTTTGATTTCTTTATTCAAAAGTTTCTATACCTATTAAATTTTGTAAACGAATGGTTAATGTAACTGTGTATACTTTAACATTTTAGTGTTGCTATAGACGTTGCTAAGAGAGCGGAGAATAAAAAAATTTTAAAATTCTTAAACTTCAAAGACCCATAACTCTTAAAAAAATGAAATTGACTCCAAATTATTTATGATTATTACTAACAACATTATTAACTGCATTTGTGCCAAAAACCAAGTATTTCTGAGGTGGTGGGTTATTTCGACTTGTTGTTTTGACATGGAATTACCCGAATTCATTGCCGGTGGTTTTAATGCAATGAACTCGGCCTTTGCGGATGATAAATCGAAAGAGCTGGTTGAGACGGTTCTTAAATTTTAGACCGTCATTGAGCTTTTTCCGCTCATTGTTAAGGTTGTTGAAATTTTTTTTGTTTAGCTGGAGTGCGGTCAGGGTCGATATTGATGTTTTTGAACTTTTCAAACGAAGCAAGATTTTTTGCAATTGACAGTAAGTTGTTACGAAATTCTGTCGATTCTAGTTCTACGATGAGTGGTGCTGGAGTAGAGGCTTCGTTCGTGGACAATTTTTTTAGGTCGGATACGACCAACAAATTGAAAGAGTTTAGTAATTTCAATGATCCCAATATCTGTTTAACATTTTCTAATTCGTTATCTGCTGTTCTTTGGACTCCAACCCAAATAGGGTTAGAGTCGGGAGGCCAGCTATAATGATTCGTTTCACTTTAGTTTGCTGAGGTTTTGCGTTTATTTGATTTCGGATAAATTAGCAATAATAGGATAATTGGCTTTGAATAGTATTTTTTTGTATTTTTTTTAAATAGTTTATTTTGTAAAGTTAATTTACGATATTAACTGGTTAAATATCAGTATAGGTAAATCAATAAAACAATAAAAATGTAAATAGTATCACCATTGACGGTTGTCTTTTTAAATCAGAACAAAATAACTCTAAAATACGGTGAAAAGCAAATTTATTTATATAACTATATTATATAAGTATATAACTAATATTATTAGTATTATAATATTTAATATTATAATTATATTAAAATACTTGTATTGTAATATATAATAAATATGTATTTGTATCGTAAAGTCTAAAAACATCTGTCAAATTTTTCTTTGCGATAAGAAAAATTGTTCTTCAGATAAAGGACATCGACAAAAAATATATTTGTACTTTTAATAATTGATAATCCTTAATAATTTTAATAATTAATAAAACAAGTCCTTAATAATCAAAAATAATTTTTTTAAATTTATATTAATGATAAATCCGTAAAAAAAAAATTTTTTATAGATATTAACAATCCGCAAAAATAATTATTTTTAAAACTTTCGATATCCGTACTTGGGGTGATACGTTTCGAACTCGGGGTACCTACCCCACATTCAGTACTCCGAGCCTGGCTTTGCGTGAACCAAATTTGGTGTGGAACACTGCCTAGAAATTACGACGTGTTTTTAGTTTACGCCTGGATCGTGTTTAAACATTTTTCAAAGTTACTTTTTGATAAAATAAAGTAATTTATGTAATTTGTAATGTAAACATAGATAATTACAATACTTTTGATGAAGAAGAAGCAACAGTTGCCGCTTTATCTCAAAAAAATGAAAATTAAAAAATGAGTTGAACATTCACTCAAACTGAATCTGGATGGCAAAACCAACGCTTCTTTAAAGATTATATTCAAAGAACTGACGACAAATTGAAAGATGTTGCATATCCTGTTTTCATATTCTCAGACATTCATCAATCATCCAGTAGAGTAAAAGCGGATCAAACCAATCACCGAACAATAAAAATCAAGTAACTTTATTATTTTTAAAAATTTTTAAACTATTTTTTTTAAATAAGATAGAAAATACCAACAAGCACATTATTTATTATATTTTTTTTTTTTTAATTGTTTTTGAAAATATGAAAATTAGAAGAAAAAAAAAAAGGATCGCTTTAGGCAGAAAGTCTGTTAAAACCAATAAATATTAATTACATTTAATAAATTTAACATTTTATATATGTAAATGTATATATATTTATATATTTTTTATATAGCATACATAAATATTAAAAGATTTAAGGTTTACATTTTTTACAACAAAAAAAATCTGAACCCATGACAAAATTTTTTGGTAAACATGTTTTGTTGCAGAGCAAAGTATTGGAATTTGGGTTCTCGGATGACATCATGTCCGAATGTAATTCTTTTTTACCCTTTCTGCATTTTGAAGGTGTTGTAATTGGTTCTATATTTTGAGTTACTTCTTTTATTGCAAAGTTTGGCAATGAAATTAGACTTTTTAGCTTGTTTTTCAGCTTATTTGAGTTGCTTAACTTCTTCTCTTTTTTTGAGATGATCTGAAACACCGTTTTCTCTAATACATTGGCCAGCAGTTTTTGGAATATTAGGTTGACTCAATTTTTTTACATGATACTAATTTTTTTCTTGAAAAAAACTCTTTAGCTCATTTTCCGTTTCAATTTTCATTCTCTCGTGAAGTGCTCTGTACTTGTCGAACCTCGAAGCTGTTGTTGCTTGTTCAGAAGATAATGCTAAAGACTTTATTGTTCCCATTGGCGTTGAAGACGTCGGTTGATTTCGGAGATAGATAATGTCTGTTGATTGATTTTGTTTTTGTTAAGTGAAAATAATACAGTATATTCAACAAAACCAGCAATAGCGTGCAAACGTTTAAAACACATACCGCTCTCATACACCTGTTTGAGCAACGTAGGAAAATTTAAATCTAAGTTTTTGAATTTTGTGGGTTTCTAATATTTGGTAAGAACTGCCTTCCACACTTGCTTAACACGGCAATAGACACCTCTTTCCAGTGACTGAAGAATGTGAGATGAGTGGGCTTGTAGACAAATCAAAATTATATTGTTTTCCCGACATTACAATACAGCTGCTAAACTGACCTGAGACTATATCCATCAAGATGTAAAATATGAGTACTACTAATTGCTTGACAATCTGGTATATACACTTCCTTCAACCATTCAATAAATGTGTCATGCTCCATCCAACCAGATTTAGAAATTGAATATTTGATGCCAGTCAAACCACCTAAAGCCCACTCAGCTCTAAAGTTTCATTTTGCTTTGTATACCACGAATGGTGGTGTAAAGTATCCATCAGCATTACAGCAATTGTTCACTGTATAATGGATTTTTTTATTGTTACCAGTGACACACTTTGCACCTTTTCGACAGTTGCTTTGCCTTGATCAGCACACAAACCCGTTTTATCGCAATTCCAAATGTGACAACCAGAAGTTATCCCAGACAATTGATATTGTTTAATGACAACTTAAAAATAATTATCAATTATTTCTTGCGTACAAGAAGCAGCTCTGGCAGATGCTATAGTGTGAGTTTTTCATTTGGAAATTACTTTAGACCATCGGTTTATAAACGCATAAAACCAGTCTTTGCCAGGCCTGCCGTTTTTAAATATGCCTCATTGATTTGTACGAAGAAGGTAACCGCATACGAAGTCCATGATATCATTTCGTGTTAAACCATAACCCCAATCACATTGGGAACTTAAATGCATGCACCATAATTGACTCTGTTTGCTGTGAGAGTGCGGTTGTTTATGCTGATCTCTTGAAGCTAGCATTGCTGTTGTTCTTACGACCTATTAGATTTGAGAATAGAATACTATATTTGAATGCAGCTTTTCTGATTGAAGTATTTTTTTCTTTTATATTATTTAACGCAGCTTCTATTTCTTTTTCATTGTATGACTGATGATACACCCATTTCTCAAAATCAAGTTATGAAATTCCCACCAACATTCCCATCCTTGCGTCATAATCTTTTTTAAAAAAAAATGTTAATCTTTTTTTTGTTTAAAGTTAATCCGGCGTTACAAAAAAATATATATAAAAAGAAATTTTTATGTTATCAAAATCAGATGGATTCAAAGAACAAACCATTACAACAGTTCGATAAACCAATACCTGTTGCCGTTGTAAAACCGTACAATCCAGAAAAACCAAAACCGAATCCGTATATGTGCGATTCACATGGTAATCAAATACATAGTTTTGAAGTTCGTTAAAGGTATTATACTTGTTTATACAATTATAGAAGTTCTTTTTGCATTTTAAATGGAAGTTTTAAATTTTGTTAAAAAAAGTGCTACACGAATATGTAACTTTTTTCAACCTGTTGGAAATTTACTTATATCAAGTGCATTGAAAATATATAATTATTTAAAATCTGGAAAGTTTGCAAAATTGTTGTTAAAAATTTGATTTTTCCGTTCAAGCTATTACTATTGATATTAATTCTAATCTTTGCGAGCCTTATTGTAGTTATTCATTTTATTCTTTGTCAGTTTGAAATAAATCAAAATGAACCCGAAAGAAATGAAGAAGAAATGTAGAGAAGTGTTAAATAATACTGAAAAAAGAAAATATAAATCAATCGAAGAAATTTAGGACAAGTTAGATTGTATTACAGAAATAACAAACTTTACAAATTTGAAAGAACTTTATGATTTTTGTTTTTTATTAACGTGTATACGAAAAAAAGATTTTTATATTATTGTTATTGATACTCCGTGTTATAACGAAAAACAATCGAGTTTTGAATCGTTTATCATATGGAAATTTGATATACATAACAAACGTTTAGTTGTATTATTAAAACGCTTGGAAAATTTTGTTAACTATTGTAAGGGTTAATTTAAAACACGAGCATCTATACGGTTGTAATAAAGGGCTGTCGACTCGCGTAAAAACTTGTAATTTGTTTACAGAGAATTGTGGGATACCCTGGTAGTATAACATTTAAAAACAAATAAATACGTTGTTTTCAACGTTGATTGCTCTTAATTCATTTTGTAAACTATTCATAGAATTAATCTTATTTTTTTATACTATTTAGACATTTTTTTAAAAAATTCCATATTAGAATTATAGGTTTCTCATATAAAAATTCCATATTAGAATTATAGGTTTCTCATATTTCAAAAGAGCAGCAATATCACAGTGTAGTATTAAATATATCATTTCTTAATAAAGCTTATCGGTTCATAATAATAAACTAATTTGAAAATCTTCGAATGAAACTTGATAAAATAATTTACCATGTAATATTTACATAGCAAGTTATCATTTTCAATTTAAAGTTTAAACACACACACATACATATGTATGCATGTATATATATATATATATATATATATATATATATATATATATATATATATATATATATATATATATATATATATATATATATATATATATATATATGTATAAATGTATGTATGTATTTACATACATTTATAAATAACTACATGATGTATGTATGTATGTATGTATGTATGTATGTATGTATGTATGTATGTATGTATGTGTGTGTATATACACACACATTAACTCATAAAATCAAAACAGATTGTTAAAAGAAAAACATAAAGGCATTATTTAATAATTATCAATATTGAAGTTTTTTTTTATTTCCTTTACATAGATCTTGTACAGCCGAATAATAGACAAAATTATTGTTCTGACAAATATACAAACTTTTTTTTTTTATTAGTAAAAAATATGTTAAAAGCAATCTTTAAATAAAACGTTAAAAGTACAGAATTCCATGATTTTAAATAACATCTAAAAGCTAGGTTTTTAGCACGAAGCCACTTTTCAATAAATTCCATAAACAATGTTAACTAGAATATAACAAATCAATGATATAAATAAAGATTTTGGTGAACAATTTTGGTTGTTTGTTTTCATATTGGTCTCTAAACCATGCCTAATATCCATCGCTTCACCAAAAACTATTACCACACACTGTTGACACAGTCAAACCCCTTTTTTAACAAGCTAGATAAATCTGCATGCATTGAACAATAGTTTTCTTTATAAGAATTGATTTTTTATTGTCAGCAAAAAATAGGCAATCTTGTTTATTTAGTTTTTTTAAGTGTAAATGTTTAAATAAAGCATTTATATGCAGTACAACGCTAAAATCTATTTCTTTAAGACAATCGTTTTTAAAGCTGCTAGTTTATAATGACAACAACAACAAAACATTCAGGTAAACTAATCCAAATTGTTCGAAAGTCTTTCATTTCAACCTTTTTTGCTCTGAATAGTTCTAATCAAACTTTCTAAATAATTTTTTTTTAAAGCTCCTGACACCATTTTAACATACTAGTTGTTGTAACATTTATTCTCTAATGAGGTAGAGGTTTTAAAATACAAAATATTCATTTCTTAATCCGAAGTTGAAATACCCTCAACAGTAACATGTTATTTTACTTTGTAACATGTTATTTTGCTTTGTTGTTACATCACATATAGCAGGTTTATCAGCATGAAACTTCTTTGAATTTATTAAATTAAAATGAGTATTATTTTTATCAACAAATTGGTTGGTCAATAAGAAGTCAGTATAACAGTTGACAATTATAACTAATTCAAACAATGCTCCAAGAATTTCATGAATTGCATGATTTACGTTTACGTTTTTCTATTTTATACATCATCATTAAATACTGTAGAAATGGTATTATGGAGAAGGCATTTTCCCTCGGTGTTTGTTAAATAAAAATTGAACTTTCAAAATAATTGATGCAAAAATTCCACTCGTAATTGCGCAGTTAGTTTTTGAAGGCATTTCTGAACAACAAAGAGTATTATTTATTAAAGAATAACGCAATATAAAACAGAAAACTTTGCAGAGTTTCAGCCAAGTTAGTTGTTGTAAACTTAATTCTATACTACCAGGGCATCCCAGAATGCCTTGCGCATACGATTACACTCTTAACTATGTAAATATTAAAGAGTCGACAGCCCTTGGTTGTAATACAATATTTAATAAAATAAAATGATACAAAAACTTTTTTTTTTGATTTTCCAACTTGATTGATTTCATAAGATACCAAAACATAATAAACGACGCGGCGTACCAAACTCGTTCTCACCTCTTTCTAATAATCTGTTCATAATGACATCTAATATTCGTACTTGATCTAAAAAAAATATTTATAAAATACTTGATCTTAAAAAAATATCATGTTTATAAAAATAACATTTAACAATTTATAAATTTACCGTCATCTATTTCTGGTATATCATCAAAATAATCAAGTTCATTTTGGTACATCTCTTCATCTTCCCCCTCGAGTGGTCTTTTTTCAACCACTCGAGGAATGTAAATTGTTGATTTTTGTATGTGTTCTCTGGAACATAGGGTTTAACAATCTAGAAAAAACACATACACTTTTTAAAAAAAGATTAAATATAAAAAAAATATTTAATAAAAATATACTTACAGCTACAGGTTATTCAAACAATCTACGTTTCACTGTGTTTCTTTTATTTTGAGAAATTTTTTTGTAAACTTTTGGCATTTTTTTTTACAAACTTTTTTACAAAGTATGTGTTATAATTTGACGTGAAAAATGTTTTTTCTAGTTTTTTGTAACGGTAAACTTTAAATAAAAAAAAGATTAACATTTAAAAAAAAAAAAAGATTATGACACGAGGTTGGGAATGTTGGTGGGAATGTCATAACTTGATTTTAAGAAATGGGTGTATCATCATATGACTTTTTTCTTGTTATCATATTGAAAGTGAATTATTAATAAATATCATTAAGTCATTTTTGTAAAATAATTTTATATAGGAAGAACCCGGAACTAACACATGAGAAAATTCAATAACTAAATTCACCGAGGTACCTAATTTAAAAACTCAAATACTACTTAATAAAGGTATTTAAAGTAAATATGTGAATGATCGGTTTTCCACAAAAAATTTAATATTAATTTTTCTTACTTTTTTGTCTAATTTTTAACTATAAAACGAAAACAAATTATGCAATCGGTATTAAAATTAAATTTTCTACAAGATAGAGGTAAAATTCTTTTTAAACGAATTATGGTTCCCGAATTATTGCGATAGCAAATAAAAGAAAAAAGCAAATTTTTACGACTCTCTTTTAAACTTTTATAAAAATAAAATGACTGAAAAATGACTTGGATTTTATTTTGGCCTATTTGAATAGAGGAGAGGATTCTCTTTCTTTTGGTGTTTTTAATTTTTAAATATTCCAATTAGTTCCGATTTTATTTAAATTTTTCGATCAGTGATTGAAAAAACATTGTGATCGGTTTGACCCGCTTTTACACTACACATTTATGTGTATTTGAATAATGTGTTTTTTAGACAATAAACGTAACTTTTAGAACAACGCTTTTTACTTTACAAAGAAAAAGGTTACCCAGTGGGAAAAAAGACGTCGAAAAGACGTCTTTCAAAGTCTTATTTACGATGTCTTTAAGACGTCTTTTTTTAATCGGTTATGCAAATCTAAAAGACATCTTTTTTCGACATCGAAAAGACGTCTTTTTTTATCTTAATCTTGTCATAAAAAGACATAAAAAATGCGTCTTTAAGACTCCTTTTTTTAGTCGAATATGCAAATCTAAAAAATTGTTTTTTCTCGGGGTCAGAACGACTTTTTTGCCATTCTTATTAGTATACTATAGTATCCTATACACTATAGTATTCCTACTTTTCTTATATGAAAAGTTATTTTTTTTTAAAGAAAATGATAATAGCTCTTCATACAAAGTATGACAAAAAGCTTTTTCCGATGCCGAGAAAAAAACCTCTTTTAGATGTCAATATAAAAGAGGAAGCATTTTCTACATCTTTTATATGTTTAAATATAGGAGAATAATTTATAAAACAATAGTATTGTTCAACAGAATATTTTTTAATTAATATAATTAGAATAATTTTTCATCTTTCTCTTTTTTTTCTGTTTCTTGAGCGAGCTCTGTTTCTTGGCGTTGTTGAATAAAATTAACAATTTCACGTCGAAAAATCTTTTCATACGAGCAGGTTACGACTTCTAGCTGGTTACCACTTCTAAAAAACGAGTGAACATAAAAAACAGCCTATTGCTTAAATGTAATACAAAAAAAGCAAACAAAACTTGATTAGCTGAGTGAAGCACATTATACTTACCGACTATTAATTCAAAAAGGGCTGATCTTTTTAATCCACTCATGTTTCCAGCGCGGTTCCTTTTTTTTGAACCCACTAGGTTAGATTGGGACAGGAGTTTAACGGTAAACAGTCTAAAAATATATAAAAATGAGTGTGCTAAATAAATTTACAACCATCAAAATGACTGTACAACGAAGTATTTTATTATGTAGTACTTAAATCAAGTTAAACATTTGCACCTCTCAGATTTACTATGAAAGCCAAGTTATTGAAAACAGATATTAATATTTTTCTGTCTTCTATGACGTGACTTTTTAATTAAATTTAAGTGAACTCGCTGAAATTAAGTGTTGTAGACTCATAACAATTTAAAAATCTGTTATTGACTAAAAACAAAACAAAAAGATAATTCAGCTAATACACCTTGAGAGTTGTTATTTATTTAAACTAGAAAAAAGTTTGTCAAAGGATGCTTTACTTAACAACATAAAATCATAAAAACTGGCGATATCATTAGCAACACAGATGAAATACACATAAACAAAATGAAGACTAGAAAGCTGCAATGATGTTTAGATATAAAAAAGTGTACCTTTCCAGTATCATTTTCACTTGGTTTTTTGTATCCAAACCAAAAATTTTGCGAACATTTCTAAAGAAAAATCTGTTGTCATTACGTGTATTTTTATAATTGCTTTATTATTGACAGACAACAGTTAACAAAGAAATAACATAAAATTTAAACATAAAAGTTGAAGAGGCAATCTTTTGTATAAACAATTTCATCATTCAACTAAATAAAAACAATAAAATTATTCAGATCATTTAGAAATCTATATATAAAAAAAAAAAATTGCAAGCCTACTAAATGCTTCTTTTTTTCTATCGTTCGTTTCACTGGCACTTGAACAAGTAAATATAGAGAAAAATTGTTTACAGGTTTTATTTTTCGTAAGAAAATAAATATTTTAATTTAATATGTAATAAACAACGTTCTTCAAGCACAATACATTAAAAAATTAGTCTAAAAATAAATGGTAAAACTTTTTTAAAAGACTTACCTGCGACTAACTTAATTGAGACTAGATTATATCGATACCATCTTACTGGCACCACGCCATCCACTTTTGCTTCTTCCGATTAACATTTTTTAGCTAAGCAGCTGCAACTGTATATTTATTTCAGTATATATATATATATATATATATATATATATATATATATATATATATATATATATATATATATATATATATATAATTTTAATTAAATTTCCTATGCAAAAACGTTTCACATAAAAGTTATATAAAAGTATATTGTAAACAAAAAACGGGCCAATCAGAACGTAACAAAGATATCCTAATTACGATACTGTGGGTTAAAACCCATTTTTGTTAGGTTCTATTGGCAATAATTTTTTTTAATTTTCTTAAGCAAATAATGATTTCCTTATTAACAACCGATTGACGTCTTTTCGACCTCTTTTTTGAAGACGTCTTTTTAAAAGACGTATTTCCGCGTCTTTATTTTAGCTGATTATAAAAAGACATAACAAGTCATAAAAAAGACGCCTTTTATTCGTCTAAAAGTCTTTTTTCCCACTGAGATAGTACAAGAGCAGAAAATACAATAATTGAAATTAAACAGCAATATTTAAAACTCGAAAAAGAAATACATATGTATACCCAGCGGGCACAGACGTCAATCAGAAGTTATACGGACGTCTTAACTAGGTCGCGACGTCTCAGACCAAATTAGGACGTCCTAAAGACGTCCAGTAAAGACGTCTTTGTTAGGACGTCCTACCAAGCGGGCATTTTGACGTCCTAAGGACGTCCAAAAGACGTCTCAAGTCTCGTCCGTAAAACGTCCTTAGTTGGTCTCAAATGAAAGACTTGGAGACGTCTATTCCAGACGTTTTAAAGACGTCTTTTAAAAACGTCCAAGAGACGTTTTCCGCAGACGTTTTAAAGACGTCTCTATCTGGTCTCATATGAAAGACTTAAGGACGTCTTATTCAGACGTCTTAGAGACATCTGAATTTTACCAAGACATTCTTTTAAAAGTTATTTAAAAATGCAATGATTTACAACACACACCTTAGATTTGCCTTAATCTAGGCAAGGAAAGTTATAAAAAGAAATCAAAGTAAATAAAGTGTAATTTGATATATTTAAAATAAATTAATAACTTTACAAAAAATAAGAATAATTTTTCAAACAGTTACACTTTCCAAATTAAAAACTAATAAGTATATATATATAGATACGTGAGTATCGCGTTTTACGGAACTGAATTTTGTGCTAAAATTCTGTTCCACGTTTTTCGTCGTCTCTTAAAAGTTAGAGTGCTTGAGGAAGGCCTTGTGGAATAACTTTTTAGTATTCGTTATCAACATAGATTATTTTTAGAAAGAAGAATAGTTGAAGCATTAGTTCGATTGGTTTTTAATTATACTCACTTAATTTATTAACGAGTTTATTGATGTCAAAATTTTGGTTGTACTTCTGTGGTGAATTTAATGTCCAGGATAAAGTCTTTTTTTTTTCTATCCATTTTTTTTATTAAATTTATTCATTTATCTATGCACCTGCCAATTTTCGTTGAAAAATATTTTGTAGCAGTCACCTTATTTCTTGCTGCACTTTTGTTACCTAATTTACATTTTACCTGATGTTGGCGCGGGAGACAGAGGGGTCTATTGATTGTTTTTATTTATATTTATTTTACATATATCGTATTCATATTAGCAATATTTGACTTATGTCATAAATTGATATTGTAAACCTAGATATTTTAGAATAAAAATATAGTTAAAAAATTTGTACATTTAAAAGAAATTACTTTAATAAAACGATTTTTAGTAAATATTAAAATAAGACTTTGATTTTATATTTGATTTAGAAATAAAATGGAGGAAGAAAATAAAGGTTTCATCTAGTATTTCATCTAGTAATTTATTAATAAGAATTAGATGTGAATTAAATTATTGATGAATCATATCTAATTTGAAGATTGAACGCTGTTTTTATTTAATAAGAAATATCTTTATGGATAAGTTGTTTTGATATAAATTTATTAAACTGTTTTTAAATTATCTGGCCACTATCTAAATCTTTATGTATAACTTAAATATTTCTTTCACTGTTTTAGATAAACAAAGTTGTAGTGCAGCCGACAACATCAGTTAGTTACTTTCTGTATTCAATAGCTTAGTAGTTATTAAATAGATGCTATTATAATATATGTTCTATATATATATATATATATATATATATATATATATATATATATATATATATATATATATATATATATATATATATATATATTTATATATATATATATATATATATATATATATAAATGATATTAGTTTTCTAATGCAGTTCTTTATTATGCCTGTATAGATTGTTGTCTAACAATATTA